GAAGAAGTAAAGGACCCACTGAATCCTCCAGAGTGTGTGCACTTCTGGACCAATAGCCTTTATGCAAGTGAGATGTATGTGCTTCACTGTAAACATGAGCTGGGATGTTTTTATTCCAGCCCACCGTCACCATGAGTAAGTGTGATGTGAGCAGCCTGCCTTGGGAGACTGACAGGCTTAACAAGTCCCCTTCACTCCCCTTCAGAGGACAGCCTCAAGGATGGGCCATGGCTAAACCAGCTGCTGCTAAATGTCCTGCCTCTGATGCTGGATGCCCCAGAGAGTTACACTAAGGCAGCCCTGGAGAGTCTTATTTCGGACTAGCCTTGGGACTTGGTTCCTGCAGTAGGAATGATCTCACTTTGTCCTCGTGCTCTGCCAAGTGAAGAAGGAGGGAGTCATGGGCCAACTGGGGGCAGAAAAAGTGAGTACAGTTGCTAGAAGGCTCATGTAGGCAGATGGAAGCAACAAAGTCTTTCTCTACCTGTGCCTCCCTGCACCCTTGTCTCTCAGGACTCCTGTGGGCCACAGGCCCTGCACTGTGCCTGGCTTGCTAGCTTGAGAACACTGCTGATTCACTTTCTGAACACTGGCTACAACGCAGTGTTCATCAACCTCAACCAACAGAGGCTGATGGACTGTACAGGTTTCCCCCGCTATCTCAAAGTAGAGTGTTCCTATGAAACCGTTCATGAGCTGCAATGATGTAAAGCAAAAAAGCAGTTATTTCATAAAAGCGAAAATCCTCCTTGGATTTATTTCACTTAGAGAAAACAGGTACTAATGTAGGTCTTTTGTAAAAGCGGAGTGGCATAAAGTGAACTTTCGGATAGCGGGAGAAACCTGTATCATGACCCTACTTGGTTCTGTTACGTGAGCAAGAAAGAGAAATCTAGTTAGCACTGTCACATTCCCTCTCCTGCTGTCCCACTCATGGGACCCAGAGCTTGAGTGACTTGCCTAAGGTCTCAGGGCTAATGACAGAACCAGGAATTCCAGTTCTCTTGACTTAGCTGCCTAATAAACCAAGTTGCCTTTTCATGGTCATATTTCTTACTAGCATATTGGGGCAGGGTTGGAGAATACTGGCCCACGCTGTTAGGACAGGAGAGAGACAGGCACCCTTGGCCCCTTAGACAGCTGAGATTCAGAGTAACATCCCTGTTAGTGGTTCTGTGAGCATCTCTTAGCCCCGGGGTTTCTAGAATGGTGATCCTGGGTCAGCATAGGGAGTCAGGGCTGCCAAAGGCTGGTTCTAGCCCTTTAATGAGGAAGGATGTTTATCAGAGAATCAACCCTTTCACTGTTCTTTGTACTGTTAAATTAGTGGGAAGAATGTTCTTTCCCAGAAGTTTTATTATAACTAATGATCTTAGTGGCCATATGGAGTCATCATGGCAAGGTCAGCACAGGTCTAGAACCCTCTGTTTAATAGCATAGGAAATGATGTAAAACATCTTAGAAATGTTCTCATTTAAAACTATTAAAGTAAAAAAAATGGTAATGGAAGGGGCGTGTTTCAGTTATCTGGTAAATTCACTTAAATTCTCAGATGTCTTCTCTTGCTGAATAAACAAGGCACGATTGTAATGCTGGCTTTGCCAAGTGCTCCCGTGGGTGTGTGTGTGTGTGTGTGTGTGTGAGAGAGAGAGAGAGAGAGAGAGAATGAGAGAGAGCGAGAGAAGGAGGGAGAGAGAGAGGTATAAGAGCATATTATGTGAAAAACATTGAATTCCAGGTTTTTCTTTCCCAGACTATATGGTTCTGGTCTAGAGGGTAGAACATGGTCATTAATGTATTTAAACACACCCACACTCTTGATTCCTTGAGCTTCTCTTCAATATGTCAAATTCATCCTTGCATTCCCTATTGGCTGGCAGTGTCTCGGACAGAGTAAGCACTTGAACCACCTGTGAATTGAAATGTTGAGTTTCAAGTCTTGAGGCCCGGCCACACAAAGCACACTGTTTTGCTGGTGTGGGTACAAAACTTTTTTTTTTTAAGGGAATAAGATAATGCCATATTTTGTTTCTATTTTTTTTTTACCATGTTTAGAATTTGTTGCCTTTTTATGATTCCAACTGCACATTGGACAGATGTCTTCAGGGACTTCTCTCCAACAACTCCCAGATCCCTTTCCTATGCCAGAACTGATGATTTGGAGACTAACATCTTGTGAATAGCATTTGGCTCATTTTCTCTGAAATGCAGTACTTTGTATTTGCTCACACTGAAGCTCATCTGTTACTTCTTCACTTGAGGGACCTTCCTGCTATTTATGCATTGCCTTAGAGTTTCACTATTTCAAAATGGGCTAAGAATCAGTTTCTCCATCATTTATAAAATTTATTATTTAAAATATATTTCTACTAAATGAACATAGATAGAGCTTACTGTATAATGGGCACTGTTCTAAGTAATTTATAAATATGAATGTATTTACTGAAATTAATCCTGGCCCCGCTTTGGGGGCTCTCACTTTATATTTCATCAACCTCGAGACTGTGGATAGAATTTAGGAAGCATGTGAACTTGGATGAAAATATTACACTTAGTTTTTCACTAACCTTTAACTGAAATACAGCATTTTCTTCCATTACAAATGTAGACAACAAAGTACAGAGGGGTTCACGGTATCTGTGACTTTTTCACCAGTATTTCTTGAAATATTTGTGTTTATCACTACTTCAAAACTACAGGAGTTATTAGGCCAGTCATTACGTATTGCTATTTAATGTGTTAAGGGAGCACATAGGTTACTATATCACAAATGTGTTTTGGTTAACTATTATTATTTCAATATAGTTGGTTTCCTTTGTTTCATGCATTTAAAAATGTTATTCTCATAAAGGATTCATGGACTTCACCAGACTTCCTAGGGGGTCCATGGCACTAAAAATTGTCAAGGACCCCTACTTCCCATTCTCTCAGCCATACTAGGCAGAGGCTGAAGATGAAGTGGCATAGATATTGGGAGGACTCAGGCACCCTGCATTTTAATCCCAGCTCCACCATCCACTTAGTTGTGTAACCTAGGGTATGGCTCCTCATCCTTCTGATGCTTGTTTTCCTTAGCTGCAATAATGGTGAGAGAGCCAGTCATCCACCCCTGCTAGCTCACAGGGTGTTGTGAAGATCAGATGACATAATGTCTGTGTACAGGGTTGCTCCGAAAACACTTTAAAGCGTGATATAAAGTATTTGTTGAGGAATATTAATGAGTTAAGATTGAAGAGGTCTGATGCTCCAGAGGGCTATTAATCAGACCTGGAGTGAATGCAGTTAGGTAGAACACTCTTTAATATGTCCTGCATCCCATTTTCCACCCAAGATCTGAGATCATCTTCATAAGGCTCCGGACTTGGGTCTGATTGCTCACATTTGTGTATAGTCAATTCCTTTTCCTTCCTCCCATTTCCCCAAGTAATGGCTTCATTATGCCTTTGACACCATCCACCCAGATAGAATTTAGGGAAGCTGGGATCCTCAAAGCTTCCCGTCACACTGAAAGAATAGGATGATGTTATGGATCTTGGGATATGGGAGACCATTATAATTGTGGGTTTATTTCTGGGTTTTCTATCCTGTTCTATTGATCCATGCACCTATTTTTGTGCCAGTACCATACTGTTTTGATCACTTTAGCTTTGTAATATAACTCAAAGACTGGAGTTGTGACATCTCCAGCTTTGCTTTTCATTTTCAAAATTGTTTTGACTATTCAGGGCCTTTTGTGGTTCCATACAAATTTTAGGATTTTTTGTTCTAGTTCTGTGAAAAATAGTGTTGGTATTTTGATAGGGATTGTATTAAATGTGTAGGTTGCTCTATTTGTTCTTTCAGTCCATGAGCATGGAATGTCTTTCCATTTCTTTGTGTCACCTTCAATTTCTTTCATCAGTATTTAATAGTTTTCAGAGTACAGGTCTTTCATCTCTTTGGTTAAGTTTATTCCTAGGCATCTTATTATTTTGGTACAATTATAAATGGGATTGCTTTCTTAATTTCTCTTTCTGCTGCTTCATTATTAGTGTATAGAAATGCAACAGACTTCTATGCACTGATTTTGTATCCCAACAGGTCTCATTCTTAAGTTACCCTGTAGCCCTATGGGATTTCTGACACTAGAAAGGTAGCTCTGCTGCCATCAAAGCATTGTTAATATTATTATTAGTTGAATAATAATTATAGCTATTTTTTGAACACTTATTTTGCCAGGCAGGATTAGTACTGGGCACTTTACATTGAGCAAAGCCTTATGAATGACACTTTCAGGGAAATATGCTTAGATTTCCACTTTATAGATGAAAACCAAAGGCTCAGAGAGGTTAAGTGACATTGTTAGAAGGTGACCTTGGGCACCGTGGTATAATAGAAAAAGCATGAATTGAAGCCAGACAGATTTGGGTTCAAATCCTGGGCTTTATCTCCACTATGTACCTTGGGCAAGTAATTTAACCTGTCTGAGCCTATTTTCTCCTCTTACCATATTTCTAATTTCTTAATGTTAGTGAAGCCTTCCACAATGTTCCTCTGTAGCACTTTGTACGTGACTGTGTCATTTAGCAGGCATCCCCACCAGCGTGTAAACTCTTGAAGGAAGAGGTCCTGTTTTGTTCCCCTTTGAATTTCTAAGACCAAGAATTGTACATATCAGGTGCTCTAAATGGCATGTGAATGAATAATGTGGGGCTTATGGTAATACCAATTAGGTTGATATGAAGGATAAATAACGTATTGGAGCAGTAGGAAGTTTTAAGTTTGTGGTTGGACAGACTAAGATTCAAATTTCACCTCTGCCTCTTAGAAACTTAAGCAAGTTACATTACATCTTAGAGTCTCAGATAAAACCTAAGATAATATTACCTACCATTCACAGTTGTAGTAAAAATGAATAAATCTCTCTCTCTCCCTCTCTAGATAGATACATAGAGATACACACACACACACACACATCACTGGTAAGTAGGAATTACTAATCAATGTTAGCTTTTATTATTAGTGCATATGAATGTAGTTTGTATAGAGTGTTACACAAATACTCATTTAACAAACATTTACTGAGCACCTACAGTGCACCAGGTTTGGGGATGTGACAGTGAACAAATGAGAACCATTCTCTCCTAGAATTTACACTCTGGGACTGGATATGGGGGGGTGCATTGGGGCACAGAGAATAATAATTCAGGTCTCAAGAGTGAGCCATCATTACCACCTTATTCACACCATTGACAGTTGGCCAACACTGAATACTTTTCATGCTGAGCTTTTATGGTCTTGGCTACAGGGTGAAGGATTTAAGTCCAGTGTGTTAAAGCCTACTCTTCTAACTCCTTGAGGGCAAGCACCAGGCATACTCCTTTTGTACTACATAATGCCTGGCAGGGTGCCTGGGCCTGAATAAATGTTTGGAATACCTTCGTACAGCTAGGTTTCCCTTCTCGAGGCCCCGCAACATGATGTAGCTCCACAGTTCTAGGTGTGAACACAAAAGCATTTTTCTTAAAGTGAGGGTAAGGTCATAGCTTATAATTATTTTGGCTGAATCATAATCATAATCATAATCATAACTCTTTATTGTGAACTCATTATGGTCCAGGCACTGGTTGGGCAATTTGCACATACTATCTTGATGACTCTACCACCACTCTCAGACAGGTACTATTTCTCCTTAAATTTACCCATAAGGAAATTGAAGCTCTCACTGTGTCCGTGTAACTTGACACACAGGCAAGAAGTGACTGTAGGCAGCAGGACAGCATAAGAGGTGCTCAGCAGATGGTAGCAATTGTGGTGAATAGTGAATCTGGGTCTATTTGAGAGACTGTCTAAGACAGCTAAGAATCCCAAGGGCTTACCCAGTTCCAGCAGGTGAGTCAAAGGTCTTGTACATCTCTGCTGTATTTTCAAGGGATATAGTTTATCCTGCATTCTATGAAAAACACAGTTTGGGGCCCAATTAAGTAGAACACAGTTAAGTGCTTAGTTTGCTCCAAAAACGATCTCATTTTCACTGAGGACATTTAACAAGCAACTTGGTAATATTAAAGAACCAGAACTAGAGATGTCAGACAGACTAGGAAGAGAGATAAAACAACCATTTGTAAAATTAAAAAATGCTTCTATTCATTATTATCTGGAATCTCTAACTATTGGAGCTCCTAAAAATAACAAAACAGTAATATTTCAAAATTTGGGCAGAATAACAGAACAATTAGAATAAATAGCACTGAGCATTTATAAGGCAAAATAGCTCCATTAATATATTTCTATGATGGATGGAAAGAATTGTGAGATGGCATGTGCTGCAATATGATTATGTAATATAATGCAAATGGATTTTATTTTTACATATTATGACACAACTCTGGACTAGCATAGTAGTCAGGGTTCTCCAAAGATACAGAACCAGTGGGATGTATACACACACACACACACACACACAGATTTATTGTAAGGAATTGGGTCATGTGATTGTGGGGGCTGGAAAATTTGAAATTTGTGGGGCCAGCCAGCAGTCTGGAAATTCTGGCAGGTGTTAATGCTACAGTCGTGAATCCAAAGGCAATCTGGAGGCACAATTCTCTCTCCTCAGAGGACTTCAGGTCTTTAATGGATTAGATGAGTCCCAGCCACATTATGGAGGACAATCTGCTTCAATTCAGTCTACAGTTTCAATGTTAATGATATTTTTTCAAACATACCTTCACAGCAACATCTAGACTGGTGTTTGATTAAGCAATTGGGCACTATAGCCTAGCCAACTTGACACACGAACTTAACCCTCACAACCAGTGTGTTCAAGCAGGCTGGGAGGAGTACACTTAGACTAAATGGGCGGGAATAATAGGAAGAGACCATTTATAGCACAAGTAGATTAAGTGAAGGACAGCAAGGGGCCTGGGTGTAACAGTTGTTGCTTTTAAAATTTGTTGTTTTAAAATGTCATGGTATTTAACTTATTTAAATAAGAAATAATTGATAAGTGGCAAATTTCCCTTGATTTCAGAGATATTATTAAAATAAGGCATTCCAGGACCTCTGAGATTGACAAATCAAAGGCTTCTATAGCGCTGATGACAGGGAGGATGCTTCAGGGAGGAGGCTAGAGTAAAAATAACCCCAGCTCCCTGCTCGTGCCACAGCTGGGTGCTTCAGGGGGAAGCCAGCTTTATGCGTGACTGAGCTGCTGTGGGGCCCTATTTCTAGTTGTCAAGGCGAAGGTTTAGCATCTTCTTTCAACATCCTGGTACTCCAAAGAAGAAATCGAGATGATTCACTAAAGGATTAGAGAGCAAGTAATTCAAAACAGAACACCAAACTGAGGTATAAAAAAGGAATATTTATCTTTGAAAAATACAACTTTGAACACACTACAGACATCTCATTTACAAAGTATTTTCCTGAAATACTCTTCATTGGCTTTGCTTACTTAGTACATTCTTTTATTCTGAATGAAGACTCAAGGGAGGGCATGCTTGTGTTACTATAAACACCAGCAACACCACAGAAGAAAAGATCATCTGTGCCTCAGGATATTAGCCCTAAATCCTCATCCTTTCTCTTTCGTTTCCATCAAGCAGGACTTCCTGACTGGTCCACGTACACTCTGCCATTGCAATCTGCTGGAGGGCACCATAGAACTGGAGGTGCCCACGGCCATCGGCGCTCCAGGAGGAGCTGAGCAATTTGCAGGAAGCCTCACACACCCAGGCTCATTCATTACCAAGAGTTTTCTACTAATACTCATACGAACTGTTTGCAAACATTCAGCTTGAAGTGAACATAGTATTTACAGCGGTACATGGTTTGCAATTCAACACACTGATGGCAGAAGAAAAGGGACCAACAGACTTCGTAAGAAGGCCAGAGGGAAGGCATATTAAAACGAATCCCTTCTGCTAACGTGTGTGTACGTGCATGTGCACATGTGCACACGTGTGTTTTAATTCATAGAAAACTAAACATGCCCTCCTTTAAACGCAGACTATTTATAAGGTGATTCTGAATAGCACATACACATGCCAGTCATACTGGACACTTGCTTTCTGCGAATACATCTAGATGTTTTTAATCTGATATATTAGAGAAAATAACTTCAGAACATTTGTCAACTTTTGGTTCACAGTAATTTTGCAAAAAGCTACAAACCATGCTTTGTCTTTTAAAAGGGGAGCCTGGTCAGGCACCTTCTAGAAGACGCTGTGTTATTCATTTACTGGCTTACTGGGGATTGGAAAGACCACGTCAGTTATGGAGTACCTAGTGCTCCTCTCATTCCTCTCACCAGTAGCAACATTAACGTGAAGAGAAGTTTTGAAACACAAATCACATACAAATCATCAAAACATTTCAATTAACAGTGTTTAAAAAAATACCAAACTCTACAACAGTAGTACAGACACTGAAAACACCCCAAATACTCTTTAGCCTCAGGCCTTTTTCAATATCACTAATAAAAGAGACAAGCCACTGACAGAAAGGGAGCAAGTTACAGCGCTTGAGGGTCTGAGTCCGTGTCTTTTTAGGGCCTGTAGCTTGAGGTGCTGCTCTAGGATCCTTATTTTAACTCAAAAGATATCCCGGGAAGGACCTGCAAATTTAAAGCACTTCCCACTTGAAAACCATTGAGAATACAAATCACTTTCTCAGCGCGTCCACCGCACATTTCTCTGCAGGAGCCCAGGCTGTAAGGCCGCGGCATTCAGGTCAGTTTCAGGCCCTCGAAGCCACAGAACTTCCACCTCTTCTCCAGACTGGCTCCGACCCCGGTCATTTCCTGCCTGAAGGTGTGCTGCAGCCGGCCCATGAGACACTCCACGTCGCTGGTGCAGATCTGTGGGCCAGAGAGAGGAGCTCCACTCAGAAGCAGTTCTACCCTGGGCTTCCCCTGTATGGGTTTCATAACTGCTGTGTGTAGATAATGATTTATTTACAACAAATTCACCTACTCTACGTGTAGAGTTCAATGAATTTTAGTACATTTATACAATTGGGCAACTCTCACCACTCTTTAGTTTTAGAACATTCCATCACCCACAGAAGGTTCCTTCACGCCCCTTTGTAGTCAATCGCTCCTCCCAATCCCTGACTCGGATTTTTTTGCTGTGGTTTTGAATTTTCTGGAAATTTTATATATGTGCGATCATACGATATATGTAGTCTTTTGTGACTAGTTTCTTTCACTTAGCATGACGTTTTGGGGATTGATCACCACCGAGCTTTCTAATGAAAAGAGCTAGTGTCAGTTGTGTGGACAGGCTTGGGTTCATAGCCAGCTGAATGACAGCTGATCGGTGCCGCTGCGCCTGTGTGCAGGCCTACTGAAGCTGCGAAGCCTTTTGGGAGCGGAGGGAGGCAGGGCAGAACTCTTCATACATGCATTGCTTTACAAAGGAAAAATGACAAAAATAAGGAATGCCCTGTATTCCTACTTCTGTGCATCGTCTCCCTCTCCCCACTTCACACACACACACACACACACACACACACACACACACACACACCATAATAACAAAAATCTGTGGACCCCTTTAGGACTTGTTTCAGGTGGTCATCTTGACATGAGTAGCAACCTTCCTAACTGTGAACCTGGGCACTTGGGCTCGACTGAAGAGCACTAGGGGATCCTGAGAGAAACCCTCAGTCGCTGCCACACTGAATGTTCCTGAAGCTGGAGGGAGGGACCCCCCCCTAGTTCTGTTGGCATCACTGCAGGCTCTTTTTGGGAGGCCCTGTCACTGCTCTGGCAGGAAGCTGCTCAGGACAAAATGGGCTGAGAGTAGAAGTGAGGTCATGCTTTCTTCCTAGAGCTAGTAGTAGACAGTAGCCAGTTAAGTAAAAGATGCACATTGCAGAGTATCATATGGAGTTGAATTCCATTCTAAAAACCATAAACATACAATGTTTACAGATGTATACGTACAATATAGGTGCAGCATGCGTATGGAAAATGGTCTGAAAGAAGATATGCCAAACTGTTAACAGTGATGATCCTGGAAGGGTGGGGCTGGGTCACTTTCACTTTCCCTTCACTGTCTTTCTATCTTGCTTACATTTTTAGCATAAAATGTATTTTTTTTTTTTTACAATTTTTGAAAAAAGGGCCAGATCATTTTTACTGACACAAAGTCCAATTTCATACCACTTCAACCTACCACTTGGTCCTGGTGCTCACATTCGATCCCTCCCTTTGCTGCCAAATGGGCTCTTTAATTGTGGAATGGTATCACTTTCCAGAGCTCAATGAGAAGGGCGTGCTGGCTCGAACTAAAACAAATGCCATGAGAAGGATGTCTCACCGCAGCTGGATGCCCACATGGGCAAGTGCCTCTGTTAAGAGGACATATGCTTAAATGGCTTAACATTTTGGACATCCAACTATCAGGAATCTGCATTTCAGTGGCCACATCTCAAGAGCCCCAGGTCCTGTGAAATAGTGAATACAATCCACAAGCACATTTAACTGAATGCAGCTTCTGAAAAAAATCTATCCTGAGTTTATTTATTCTGAGGAGTCAAGAGTCCTCTCCTGCTTCTCTGAGGCATCCTTGACTTTCTAGGGAACTAATACTTACTCTTGCCCCTGATACTTTGTGAGGTCCCTCATAGAACAGCATCCCAGGAAGGAAGTGACCCATGAGATCAGCTGGGAGTAGAACTTGAGTCCATGTCATAGACTTACTGTTTCCTCTGTTTTGTTTTAGCTCTTGCCTTGATCATTTCAACATAGGTAATGGCAGTGGTGACATTGACGGCTGGAGTAAGACTTCCAGTTTTGAACATTAACATTTACTAATGGCTAAAGGCCCGGTATCAAAGTATGACTGGTGAGAGATAGTGGGTCATTTGCAGCTTAGATAGAAATTAAAAGACAGGAGGAAAATTCTTCTCAGACGTATCTTGGAAGGAGGGTGGCCAACTCATTCAGGTTTGCCCACAACTTCCTGGTTCTGGCACTGGAAGTCGCGAGTCCTAGGAAACCCCTCAATACCAGGCAAACAGAAGCAGACGGTCATCCTACTTGCAAGAGAGAAGCTCTGCACTGCATTGCAGTGAGACTAGGCGAGGGAAATTTCCTTAGAGCGATTACTAACGACTTACTTGTGCTTGAAGAAAGTACCCTCCATCCCTTTGCATGCCCATTTAGCACCCCACGTACCTTATTATCTAGACGGTGCAAGTAGGAACAGATGTATTCAATGCTTGCTCCAAATGGGTGGACATGAAGAAATGTGGAAATAATCCCTATAGTGACAATACCATGGAGGTTACACTTGAGCATTATATTCTTTGAAATAAGAGCTAACTTACATGTACCACATACTACATACTGGGCACTATTCTAAGTTTATATACATTTTATTCATTTAATCTGTACAACAACCCACTGCATATACTGCCTCTCACTACACTATATCCCCATGTAGAAACACTGGCATTGGAGGAGTCACTTCCATCATTTATGATGGCTAAAGACCATTTGAGTTCTACATTTCACAGCGAATTTAGAATTTTATAATGAATTTGGATCATTCTGGCCTTTTGCAATTCTTCTGCACAGTCTTTAAACTGGACGTGAGCTTCTTATGCATTAATAATGTCTTGCTGTTGTGGTAGAAGTACAAATCAGGTACTTTGCCTGATTCACTTCATGCCTCTCACAAGAGAATCTGCTGATTATATTTGGTTTTATTCTGTGAGTAGCTCTGTAAAGAAAAGCCAAACATTTCATTCACTCAAGTGGTCACTAGCATTTGTTTGTGCTTAGAGCTCTAAATCTCTTCAAGTAACACATTTTTTTTTATAGAACTTTACAGCCTCTGGGAATGTGCACAATTTTTACTGAGTTTAACTATGGGGTGATTGGCAGCTATACATACTGCCTTGATTGTTCTGGACATCAGGTTAATTGTTCTAATACTTCTTTCTCTGGCAACACGTAGATCTTAAATTGTTCAAAGGCCTACTATTTCTTTCTTTAGATTTTTTTGAATTCCTCTCCTTTCATAAGATCTTAAGTACATCAAATAGACCCAGAATTGAATTTGCCGAGAACAGCCAGGAAATAAAAGCTAAATTTGATTTGGTTTATAGACTACAACTTGTCTATTCCTTCAAGTGACTGATAAAGAATATCACCAGTTTGAGTTGTAGCTTGAAGTTCAAATCAGTTCTTTGTGAAAATCCTCCAAATATCAGAGGGCAAGGAGGTGGGCTGGGGGATCCGGGAGGAGCTGATGGTAGAGTTCAAAATCTGTTCGAAATGGATGCTATTACTTATAACACTATGTGATTCTTAAATGACGAAGTAAATTGAATTGCTATACACTGACTCAAGCTGAGGAACTTAAATTCTAAAGAAGACAGTTCATGTCCAAAGGAATTCTAGGTGCTACGGCCAAGATAGGCTATCTGTCAAATGCTGAGAAATAACTCCTTAGGTTTCAAAACACTAAGCAGTTTCTGTGGGTTCACACCCGAAGAACCAATTTAAAAAATAGATTTTCCTTTCTCTCTGTCAGCCCAAGACTACATTCTTTAAAAAACAAAATAAGAAACACTTATCTTAAGAATTTTTGTTTCTAAAACTATCCATTCACAGAGGCTTCCTTCTACCCCCAGCTCTTCTCTGACAGGTCTCCCTGTTGCCATGCCAATTTGTTAAAGAACTTTGAGTTGTAAAATGGAAATAAGTTGTCACTTTTCTTTAAGACTCAATGGCAGATCCCCTTGTGCATCTTTATTAACATATCAAAGTGTTAAATCTGACTACAATATCCATTACCAAAGAAGGCAGATAAATCTTCAAAATATGCAGAAGCCAATCAGTGTGGAGAACTTCTGAGATTGGGGTGGGGCTGCTGTGGGGTTCAGCTTCCTAGAAGGCAGCTGGGATTATCTGTTGAGGCCCAGTATCAGCCCCTTGGAAATGACAGAATATTTTAGGACCTCAATCTGCCACTATTCTCCAAATGGAATATCAAGTCAACAAACATTTGTGCAGAATACTGTAAGTGCAAAACGGTTCTCATTTTACTGAGGGCTTCCTATGGGCTGCACACTGTGCTAAGGGATTCAGATGAATTATCTTATTTAATACTTGCAGCTGCCCTTTGAGACAGGTAATATCATTCTGCCCATTGTGCAGATGGAGGAACTGAAGCTCAGGAAGGAAATGGCAGAGTCAAACGGGAAACCAGGTTTGTCTGACTTCTCAACCATGTGTTCTACCTTGCCTCTCTGGATGATTTTTATATAATGAGAGCAATTCTAGCATTTACCTCGTCTGAGCCCACCAGTGTCACACACCACAGACAGCCTCCTGAGTTATCTGCCAGTAACCTGGAAAAACATTTCAGAGAGGCATACACTTCCTCTGGAGGCTCATCTGGGAAAGCTCTCTGCCCAACAGTGTCCGCACTATAACCTTGAGTGAGAGGGCTCCGCTAGCCTCACATAGAGATTTTAAAAATGTACAGCGTGTTTCTCCAGCAGACCCTCTCCTGTGCTTACAACCACACATTTGATGTGGCAGCAACCACAGGAGCTAGAGGAGAATTGGGAGCTGCTGTTACCATTTCTATGAAGTCTATACCTATTCGTGCATTGTCATGCTACATAAATGCCTGGCGGGTATATTCATCTTAGGTGAAACCCTTTCCCCCTCCACCATAGTCAATACATTATATGTGCGTGTTCCTTACCCACGAGCAGTGCTTCACGTTCAGATTTGATAGGGCTGCTGTTCAGGGTCTTCTCAAGAGGGTAGTCACTGTCCTGGCTCGATGTACACAGTCTAGTAGCACAGCTTTCCTGTGGGAATAATATGCTTCCTGGGTCAGTTCACCTTACTGCGTAACAGACTTGGATTCAATTACACAACAGGGAACTTTTTAACGTAGTACCCCAAAAGCAATACTGTACAATTTTGATGACTGAATGGGAGAGAAAATAGCATTAATTTATGCAAAAGTATCACAGATCATCCCAAACTTCTTTATATGGCTCCAAAACACAGAAAAATTTAGACATTCATCTTTGCCAGGTTTTTTTTTTCTCCCCCCACCTTCATCATTCTTGACTCTATAGAGGTAATCTGGGGAACCAGACCCAACATTTACTGCTTACTAGGTGCCAGGCACTGTTAGGTATGTGTTATCTCCATTCTACAAATGAGGAAAGTGAGGCTCAGGTAAATTAGGTAAATTGCCTTAGCCTTAGATCACATTTCTTTTTTTAATCTTTATTTTTTTTTATTTTTTTATTTTTTAAGATTTTATTTGAGAGCATGAGAGGGAGGAGGGTCAGAGAGAGAAGCAGACTCCCTGCCGAGCAGGGAGCCCGATGCGGGACTCGATCCCGGGACTCCAGGATCATGACCTGAGCCGAAGGCAGTCGCTTAACCAACTGAGCCACCCAGGCGCCCCTAGATCACATTTCTATGATGTGGTAGAGCCTAGATTTCACACCAGGTCATCCACTGCCAAAAGGATTGTTCAATTTTAGGTCCACACTCTGCTAAAGGCAGGTCCCATCTCTGAGTGCAGAATCTACAATGTAGCTAATCTACTCCCAAATAATCAACTGTTGGCTTTTGAACTAAAAATTAGAGCTTCCATTTATTGACTATCAGCTCTTTCTTCTCCCTGATAAGGACATTATCAGGATATTCCTGACTTCATATCAAGAAATGACCATGACCAAAATACTACTCAGTGGCCTTCTTTGTTGTTGAAAGTTCTCTCTTTCTGAGCATAGCAGGTATGTTTCGTAAGAGATACTCAGGTGAAATTCATGACCGGCAATCAAACTGAAAAATACGTCCAGACCTTCCATGGATCTTTCTTTCTCTCTTTGGGCACTGAGAACATCTTTTCTGTATTACAAATGTGAAGGAAGAGTCTTGAAAAGAAGGAATAAAGGGATCACTGCTTCCAGTCTTAATGCTATTAGAAAAGAAAATGCCGGGGCACCTGGGTGGCTCAGTCGGTTGAGCGTCTGCCTTCGGCTCAGGTCGTGATCTCAGGGTCCTGGGATCGAGCCCTGCATCAGGCTCCTTGCTCAGTGGGGAGCCTGCTTCTCCCTCTCCCACCCCCCTGCTTGTGTTCCCTCTCTCGCTGTGTCTCTCTCTGTCAAATAAGTAATAAAATCTTTAAAAAAAAAAAAAAAAAAAGAAAAGAAAATGCCGGGGAAATGCTCCTGGCAGGGGCAGATCATGGCTGATTCAAATGCTTTGTCACTCTTCCCTTCCGCAAGCCCTCAGCACAGACAGGTGTCCTGTTTTCTTTAAAGATGCCTTTAAAGCTTCCAGGATGTTGCCCTGAATGAAATGAATGGTCTATGCTGCAAGACATGTTGTTTTGTGGATTTACAGGCGTCCTGGCTATAGTCAGAAGGGAAGCCTTTCTTGATGACCTACTCAATCTTTGGCCTTTAGAATCCAATCCAGGCAGTAACCATCATGCCAAGTTTGATTCAAAATACTGGCTCACTTCTAAGCCATGGGTTGTACATCTCCTTCTAACGTCCTTAAAACATTAAATGATCCAGTAAGCCATTTCTTAAGTGTGAGAGTTTAACAGATTGGGGTTGACTCAAGATGGAAAGGCATCCTGAGAAGTTTTAGCCATCTTGAATAGAAATGTAGCCTTACTGAAACCTGACTTCAGTTTTATTATAGCTGGCATTTAAAAAATTAGAAGGCATATTGAAGAGATGTTTATCACCTTGAATTTTACTGGCAGATTCAAAGAGCTAGCTCTTTCTGCAGTAAGACAGACAGAAGTCACATTGTTATATTGCAAAACACTGACAATAACTCACACTACAGTTTACTGTCAAGAAACCCAAACAAAAACAAAAGAGATCTCTCCTCACCAAAACTTATTGCCTTCCTTTCAACCTGGAATTATTTTTGGAGTCTAACATAATGGTACTTTGCTTCCTAACCTAATTGTGTCAGGCTGAAATATTTGGTCACAAATCAGATTCTCAGAGAATATCAGTTTATAATGAACTGTCATGACTTTTTCTGAAAGAAGCTTTGCTTACAGTAACAGGAAAAAAACATTCTGACTCACATTTTCCTGATTATCAGTTGGCTCTCCTTCCTTATCCTCTTTAGCTGCCACTTCATGGTATATTCAGGTTCAGCATGAAAAACAGACTAAGGCACAATACATTAAGTTTCTTCTGTGCCATTTGATCTCGTGCTTCTTTCAATGAAATTTAAAGTGCCAAAAATGCCCTTACACTAAAAATGCCCTTAAATTAATTTGTGATGTCAATCCTAAAGAATGATTCTAAGCATAACGTCATTAGCATAACCTCATGTCTATTGCATTTTACGCAAGAAGCAAAACAGCTATATAGCAGCTCTGAGACATTTTATTTTATTTTTTTTAAAGATTTTATTTATTTATTTGAGAGAGAGGATGAGAGGAGAAAGAGAGCACATGAGAGGGGGGAGGGTCAGAGGGAAAAGCAGACTCCCTGCCGAGCAGGGACCCCGATGCGGGACTCGATCCAGGGACTCCAGGATCATGACCTGAGCCGAAGGCAGTCGCTTAACCAACTGAGCCACCCAGGTGCCCAGCTCTGAGACATTTTAGCAGCTCTGAAAGTATAGGGAAATTCCTGCTACACAGAGCAGCTTTGGCACTTTTCAATTAAATGCTTGATAAATGAATTTCTCTGGGATTGTGCTCATTTCTTTAATAGCACCCACAAAAGTGGAAAGTGAGCTGATTTTATGAAGTGGAAGAATTAAAAGCATATTGCAAATGGCCTCCAGAAGAAAACACTTTCAATCATTTGTTTCAACTACACCAAGGCTGCCAGTTCTTAATGGCACTCTGGGGGAAGTCACTATGCTGGTAAACACACCCAGGGCCTGTATGCATTGCATCTTCCTGAGCTGAGTGCCAGAGATAAAGAGCCCGGGCTCTTGTGTAACGATAGCATTGTTGATTTCTGGCTCTTGGTCTGAGCTCTTAGTCTTTTCCTTCCAAGACATTAAAATCAGGCAGTTACAGGGTGCTGGGTGGCTCAGATGGTTAAGCATCTGCCTTCGGCTCGGGTCATGATCCCAGAGTCCTGGGATCGAGTCCCACATCGGGCTCCCGGCTCAGCGGGGAGCCTGCTTCTCCCTCTGGCCCTCTCCCCTCTCATGCTGTTTCTCTCTCGCTCGCTCTCTAAAACATAAATAAAATCTTTAAAAAAAAAAATCAGGCAGTTACAGTCAATGGGTCTTCCTTTTCAGAGGATTGCTTCAGTTGAATGTTCAGGCATACAGACGATTAGGGAGGTACGGCTGGGAGACACCATCGGTAGACTTTACATACCTTAAGTAGACTGGGCACCTGATTCATGCTTGTGACTCATTAACCTATCCAGATGTTAGGAGACTCCCTAAGAGGCCCTCACTGGTGGCTCTTATTGCTGCAAAGTCCCATCTTGCCCTTCCATGCTGCAATCATCAAGCATTAGAATATTCTTTCTTTTTATTTACTTTCCACACGTTTTCTCCCCTTTGGGTTTTGGCGATTTCACCTGCAGCTGCTCATTATTACACTAGATGGAGTGTCTGCAAAGAAATGCCCATGTTCTGGTTGTATTTGTGTTTCTTCCTTTAATGAAACGCTTTATTAAGGGTACTCTGTGTCACCCGCATTTTCTTTCTTTTTTTTTCACCTGCATTTTCTACGTTGCTACTTGCTTGGCAAGATGAAGCCGGAATGAGGTGTACACGCTGGTCTTCTCCAAGAGGGAAAGACTGAGGAATTTTAGGGATGGACTAACTTGGTATTCATTGAAAAGTACACTCTCCAGAATCCTTAGATATGCCAAGGATTCACATCTAAAGGCAGAGCCCCTGATTCAAGAATTACCCCAGAGAGGGGGCTTTTAATCCCCATTCAGCCAAGCATTCCACGGTGATTCCTACTGCAGGAACTTGCAGGGCATTTTCACTGCCACTGCACAGGGTGGGGGGAAGGGCAAGGGTTCACAGAGGACTGATGTACCTTTTCTTTAAGACTTTCCAACATTTTTTCCACCTGCAACTTGTCATCCTTGACTTTTTCAAGTTCAGCTTCTTTCCTTTTGTATTCCTCTTGGACTTTGAGTAGATGCTACAAGACAGACCAAAGACAATCAAGTCTTGAGGAGCCACAATTCATTTAAAAACCCTGGCTGAAGTTGGACAGTAGGCTGGCCTCCCTCACTTTCTCCCAGCCCACACAATCATTTCTCCATGCAGAGATACCAAAGGGAAAATCAAGGTACTTTTTCACTTAAAGTTATTTTATCTAGTTCTTAAGAACTTCCTTAGGATTTGTTCATATTTTAGAAAGCATCTGAGAAATTAACTGATCTAATCACTTAACTTTTCTATTCCAGCCAGGGGTAAGGATAGGGTATAGTGTTAATCCCATGTGGACAATATCTTGATTGCTGCATACAACTTAATGTTGTAAAGCATTCTTTCAAATAGCCATTTTCCAAGCCAAGTTCAATTTCTGTGAGGAAAACATTTCACAGATGTTTGTTTCCACATCAGTAGGCAAGGAACTGGATTCATCATCATTAACGATTACAAAAATATTACTTATTTAGCATCTAACATGTGTCACACATTGTGGATAAGGTTTTGTATGTGTGATCTCATATAAACCTCAAGTAACCCTATGATACATAATCCTGAGGATTACAGAGGTTTAGTGCTTTGCCTTAGGCCATTCAGATAGTAAGTAGCAGAGCTGGGATTTAAACCCAGGTTGGGTCAACACCATAGTCCATGCTCTTAACCACTATGTTAGACTATACTTCTTTTTGGGATAAGATGGGAGAACCTTTATCTTGTTTACAAGGCTATTTTTCAATAAAAAGTAATCAAAATGAAAAAATTAATTTATCGGGATGTAGAGACCTAATTTTCTCAGAGGTCTCTGAAGTGATGAAATGAAGAAAAAAAAGTTCCTCATCTTTAAATTGTATTTCAGTAGCAGAACTGTCCTTCTGTGGAATGGTTTCAAAATCAAGGTAAGAGAGAAAAGCAACAAAAAATGTTTCCAAAGTTTTGCTTTTCAGAGGCTTGCAAAAGACCATTGGAAGAGCTAAAAGACACACAACACAACATATGTTGTCAAAATTCTTTGAAGTCTAGCTGAAGAGATGCATTTTTTTGGTGGAAAGATCTCAGATATAACTTACATGTTCTAATTAAATTCCATAGTGACAGTAAAAGGAAGGTAAGCATTACTTCACACATTGTGCTAATAGGAAAGGTGAAATATCAATGTGATATTGCTTGTCACACAGACAGACAGTGGTAGCAGAAGTAATAGGAACACAGGGCTCTTAGTGCCAGAAGGGACTCCTTGTTCACAATTTGTGATTTCTAGCCAACAATAAGCTTTGCCCTAGATAATTCCAAGGCATACAATTAAAAAAATTATTGCTCAATTTAAATTGTAAGGAAAATGGCTGGTCATCTGGCAAGACAGAAGAGGATAGTACCCTTACTCAAAAATACTACTCCTTTATTATGATGAGAACAGATGGTGATATCTTTTTCTTTTAAATTGTAGGCTCACTGTGGTGATGGTTACATAAAACATCTAGACATTGAACATCTAATACACACTGTTGTATTTGAATGCAATTACAGTTGGATGCACTTATTTACTTTACTTTTTATACTTGGAATAACGTGCAGGTAAACTCATTCACATAAATGACTCTGAAAACAACACAAAATAAAAGCAAATTGATATTATGTGCCCAAAGCATTGATACTGAAAAAGCAAGGGTAGGATTCCTGCCATTTCTCCTAACAGGCTGTATGGTCCAGCACTGGATCAAGTAGATACTACTTTGTCATATCTAAGTAAGTGAGGTTCTTCATAAAGACCCCGAGGCCCTGTCCAGATCCCAAAGCACCTTCTGAAGCAGAAAGAAAAGATTAGATTATGTTCGGTGTAGTTTTACTGTCAAGTATTTTTCACTGAATGTACATCCTTTGAAAACTGTTACCTCTGTATTGGCCAGAATATTTCATTAACCATAACATAATCCCTTCCTAGTCTATGCCAGAGAACAGAATATCAAGAAAATAAGAGGTTTGCTATTCTCTTTGCTGGCATGGGACCTTTTTCCAGTTGAGGAGCTGATGCTACCTTTCCTAAAAGCTCAGAAAACCAAAGGGCCTTTACCTGTTGCATTCCTTGCAGGGCTTGCTGCAGGAGTTTCAGCTGCTGTTCCTTGTTTGGGTCGTCTTCTCTGGGGGCTTTGCCTTGTTCTTGCTTGAGCAATTCTACCTCATTCCGATAGGCATCGAGCTGCCAACGGAGGCTGTCATTTTCTTCCTTCAGAGCTTCTGCCTGTGATACTAAGGCTAACCAGTCAATATAAAGTCGAACATCCATCTATCCATATTCTTTGTGGTTCACCTTAGTACCATGAAAACTTGGTAGTTTTTAATTGACATGTATAAAAAGTCTCTTGAGCAACTTTAGGTTTGAGGTGGCATGGCAGCAAGAGATGGACACAAAAGCATACAGAACCATTTTTGTAAAGGAACGCAGGATTCCAACACCCTGAAATCATCATCATGCTTCATATTTGTCACCCCAAATATAACTCAGATATTCCCAGCTAACATTGGTCATTTTTATTTGGAAGGCAGCAAATGATAAGAGCTCTGTAATGATAAAGTGTAGGGCTAATTGTCTTGAACTGATGACTGTCCACACGATAATTCTGCAGGGCAGTTGTTTTTAAAAATGTAACATTTATTGTCCTACAGAGGAAAGGTAAATGTAAAAATTAAGACACAAGACTTCTGGTTTCTGGTCTAGTGTGTAAGGAGTTTAGAAGTCGCCACTCCATCCTAACGACAAATAAAAAGCTGAATAAACTGAAAAATCAACAACTCATCTTAGATCCATAAGAGAAGTGATGTCACAGGGCAAACTGCTGCCCCTGAAACTGGAGAGACAGGAGAATCCAAAGAATCACAACTTACCAGACCAGAAACCTATGAGCAGTAAGCTCCACAGGAACTTGTGGCAAGTAAAAAAATCTAAATTGTAATTGGCTAATTGCTGGAGGCTCAGTGTGGACAAGTCTGAGATTTAAAAAGTCCAGAGGGACCCAGTCATAGTGAAGTCTCTATCCTTTTGTGAATTTTCTCTCTAGGAGCATAACCATGTCCTTACAGTGAATATTGGAGAAAAATCCCCTTGTGCTTCCATCAGGGGGAGGGGAAAAGAAACCATTTTGAAATACACCAGAGCACTCTGTTCTTCTTAACAAGGCCTGCCATCAGAAGAAACTATTTTACCAGAGCCTAACCTGCTAGGGTATTACCAGAGTCTAATTGACCTGGAGAAGGGAAATACCCAAGTATAGCTCCCCCCAGCCATCCTGCCCCAAGTAAGGGGGGAGAAAAAACTGAGAAACACTTGTGAAATCACAGTCCAGAGGTAAATGCTCACTAAAAGACTGAGACCTAATCACAGGACTAGAGAATGCTTCCCCACACTTAACTACCATATCACTAAAGTCCTATTTACTGGAGTTCTTTTCACCCAGCACATCATGTCCAGATTTCAACAAAAGATTACAAGGCGTACTAAAAGGTAAACAAACAAACACAGTTTAAAGAGACTGAATGGGGATCAGAACAAGAGTCAGATATGGCATGAATGTTGGAATTATCAGACCAGGAATATAAAACAGCTGTGATTAGTATGCTAAGGGCTTTAATGGGAAAAGTAGATACCATGAAAGAACAGATGGATAATGTAAATAGAGAGATGGAAGTTCTAAGGAAGAATCAAATAGACATGCAAAAGATAAAAAATAATACTGTAACAGAACTGAAAAATGCCTTGGATGGGCTTATTAAAAGACTTGACATGGCTGAGAGAAGAATCTCTGAGCTTGAGGGTATGACAATAGAAACTGCCTAACCTGAAAAGCAAAGAGAAAAAAGCATCAAAAAAACCCCAAGCAGAATATCCAAGAACTACGGGACAACCACAAAAGATACATGTCATAAGAATATTAGAAGGGAAAGAAAGAGAGAAGGGAATAGAAGCAATAGGTGAAGCAATAATGGCTGAACTTTCCCCCCAAATTATTATCAGACACCAAACCACAGATCCACGAAGTTCAGTGAAATTAAACAGGATAAATGCCAAAAAATTAGACCTGAAAAGACACCTCACCGAAGTATATCAATGGCAAGTAAGCATCATCATATGTCATATGTCATACATCATTAGGGAATTACAAATTAAAAGAACAATGAGATACCACTACACACCTATTAGAATGGCCAAAATCCAAAGCAATGACACCACCAAGTGCTGACAAGGATGTGGAGCAAACGGAAACTCTCCTTCATTGCTGGTGGGAATGCAAAATATTACTGGCACTTTGGAAGATACTTTGGCAATTTCTTATAAAACTAAACATACTCTTACCACATAATCCAGCAATCATGTTCCCTCATATTTACCCAAGTGAACTGAAAACTTACGTCCCCACAAAAATATGCACATGGATTTTATAGTAGATTTCTTCTGGCAATTTTATAATTGCCCCAACTTGGAAACAACTACAATGTTCTTCAGTAGATTAATGGGTAAACAAACTGTGGTACATCCAGAAATGGAATATTATTCAGTGCTAAAAAGGAATGAGTGATCAAGCCATGGAAAGACCTGGAGGAAATGTAAATGCATATTACTAAGTGAAAGAAGGCAATTGAAAAGGCTACATAACTGTATGATTCCAACTATACGGCATTCTGAAAAGGCAAAACAATGGAGTCAGTAAAAAGATAAAAAAAAAAAAAACAAAAAACCTAACCTGGTTGCCAGGGGTTAGGGGGGAGGGAAGAATGAATAGGCAGAGCACAGACGATTTTTAGGGCAGTGGAACTATTCTGTATGATACTATAATGGTAGATACATACATTTTAAACATTTGTCCAAACCCATAGAATGTACACCAAGAGTGAACTCTAATGCAAACTATGAACTTTGGGTGATAATGATGTATTTGCTGATTATAAACAATGTACCCCTGTGGGTGCAGGATGTCAGTAGTGGTAGGGGACTATGTATGTGTGTGGGGGAGACAGGGGTACTTGGAAACTATTTACTTCTTGTTCAATATTGTTGTAAATCTAAGACTTCTCTAAAAAATTAATTTATTAATTAAAAAACCCCCTAAGACACAAGAGGAAAACTTGGTTAGCTTTATTTATGGTTATGGCACATTTTTCAAGGCCAAAAATCAGAAAAACTATTATAAAATATTTAATCAGAGGATTTTCATTCATTCAACAAACACTGAGTACTTTCCCTGTACCAGGCTTATGATAATGGTAAAAAATGAGATTCCACTAATCTCTGTGGTTCACAGTCCAAATTAATGGAAACATTTGTAGTTTATTCCTTTTTTGATTCCTAACACAGCATAAAGCCCAGAAAAGAGATGTTAGCAAAATGGATCAAAATTACAAACCTGTATATTCAATGTATAAGAATGTTAAAAGGCAACTTGTCAAAGGTGTGAATTTTTTCAGCTACTTATGGGGAGGGACTTTGGGTAGAAGAAAGTAAACAAAAGTAATGCGAATCAAATCTTCAAGATTATTAGCTATAAGTGGTGGAAGAAGAGTTCTCTAAAGGTATTTCAAAGATAAGATTCATTCTCTACAATAAATGGAAAGAAGTTGTGCTTTACAAAGATGAAATATATAGAAGAAAACCATATTCTGAGGGAGAAAACACCCCATTCCTAAAAGAAAGCTGCTTCGGAGGGGGGTTTAATTCTGTGCTTTCAACCTGAGGGTTTTCCTGAAACAATCAGGTACCAATGCAGGTTGATGTAATCAGATTGTCTATCCAAATTAGAGAGTGGCAACCCTTCCTATTACATGTTCTCTTGCTTTCTGTGAATGGCTATGCAATTATCCTGATACGGCAGTTTGAACCTTGTATTTCAGTTTTTAAAAGAAATTACAAAAACCTTTGGCATGGCACATTCATTGTATGTTTGGTTTTATTATGTATCTTAATTTTTGCTGTAATCATACAGCTTTTGTGTCTTTGAAGAGAAAGCTGTTACACAGAGAGTTGAAGTCCCAGCACTGTAAATACTATCTATCCTTGCCATCTCTCCCAGCAGCTGGGATACCTGTCGTTGGACAGGCAGCATTCCTCACAATCACAGCACTAAAAGAAGATGCTAAAAGTGAAGATGACTGTATATAGGAAAGTGGATGGCAGAAGGGAAATGAGCTATCTGCCAAATGGGAAGAAATATTTGATTTGCTCGTTGGGTCAGTACCAAGGATAGCATCTCGAGCTGGAGTTCCACTGAATAACACAGAGGTTCCTCTGTAAATCAAGTGACTGCTACAGATAGACAGTTATTCATTTCTGCTTTGGTTTGCATGTTTGTCCTCTGGCAAGGCATATGGCTCAATACTAAATAGTGATATTTCATCTTCCTCTTTTGTTTCTTCTTGTACTGCAGGCTAGTGATTACGCTCATGTCTTATGAGTCATGTGGAGAAACGTGGAAAAGGGCAGAGATCTAGGAGAATGGTTAGAGGCATAGTCTCCAGTTTAAATGTGAAAATATTTTCCCTCTGAGCAAATGAGGAGGAGAGACTGCTTCTCTCCCCGGGGGAAAGGGCTTGCTGATGAATGGAGATAGATTCCTGCAGCCAAGTGAGAACAGATAATAATCTCCTCAGTTTGGACCTGTCACTAAGTAAAAGAGAATGTGATCTCCTCTAATGCCACCAGGGCACCTTACTTACGAAATGTATTTCCCACTCTCTGAAATGAGGGTTTTTGTCATTTTAATGAGGACACCAAGTCTTTACTTTCACAGACTTAATATTAATTGGGCCCATTTCTGAAGTTGGATTTCTTTGTACATTGCCAGAACATTGAAAAGTTCAATATTACCTTTTAATAATATGTTTGAGTAGGTGAATCCATCAGTCTTGATACTAAAGAGCATAGTACAGTGAATTTATTCATATCTTGCCATCATTAGTTCTCAGCTGCTCCTTTTTGACTATTTCCTATGTGGGAAAAACATTTCTCTTTATGGGGATGGCTCCTCAGATCTGAAGGCTGCCAGTTCATCATGGCAATATGAAAGTACGAAGGTAGCTGTGAATACCTCTTTTTAGAGGAGCTACTCAGAGCAAAATCCCAGATATGTTTTTCTATGACAAAAGATCTAAAAGGATCTTGTGCCATTAAAAAAATGCCTAAGTTTCTTCGGTGGTACAAATAAAACAAAAAAAATTTTTTTTAAAGATTTTATTTATTTATTTGACAGAGAGACACTGAGAGAGGGAACACAAGCAGGTGGAGTGGGAGAGGGAGAAGCAGGCTCTCCACTGAGCAGGGAGCCCGATGCGGGGCTGGATCCCAGGACCCTGGGATCATGACCTGAGCCAAAGGCAGATGCTTAACGACTGAGCCAACCAGGCACCCCACAACAAAAATTTTAATGGAAGCAAATTCAGGGGGTTGGCCACCCTCACAAAGCTGCATTACAAGAGATGCACCAAATTATTGAAGGAAGATGTATAACAAATGTTACCAAATTATAGAAGGGAAAATGTGCAACATTCCTCTCAAGGGTCCTAAAAAAAATTTGAGCTGGAGCGATTCACAAAGAGAAAAAGCCAAAAAGAACAAAGTTGAAAGAGAGAGGGAGATGATATGAGTGGTTGCAGACCAGTTCAGGGAAATTTTTACCTTACCTCTGCAGGTTATTACTCCAAAGAGGCTTCTACCAGTGTGGATGCACCAGGAACTTCGCTGTTTCTCCTCTGAGATCTCTAAATTCACCTCCCAAACAGTATCTTTATCTGTCAGTTACCTCACTGCCCCTCATCACCCTGAGACACTGCTCTCTTTCTTTGCTGGGACCTTTAATCTCTTGGAGTGGCCAACTTCACCTAGTCCATTAACTATTTTCTGGCTAAACAGATTCCACTGCAAATTCCTTAGTACTCTATATTCCTTCACCCTCCTGAAAATCTTTGGCCAGTCTTACCATGTCAATTCCTAGCTCATAGTCACTCGGCTCAACTTTGTCTGCACCTTATCCTGGGCTGCAGAGGACTCTTATAGGAAGTTGCAGAGCTGGGCAGTCCTGGTCAATACAGACTCATGTTGGTCCTTGATAGTGGGTCTCTTACCTCTCACTGATTTCTTCCTTCCATCCTGCCCAGGGTATTTATTCCAGGTCTGCTCCTGTCTCCTCATGGTCTCATTTCCAAAGCATTTCCCTAATCAATGGTTGACCAATCTCTGGGTATATGGAGAAGCATGGAATGCATATATACTTTTAGCTTCATTTCTCTTGTCTCAGAGGAAGAGGGTTCTCCCCTCTCTAAAGAAAACTCCATCTGAGTTTGGATCACTTCCCATTCTTCTCCAGGATTCTACTTCCATAATTACCCATAAGTACTCTTTCACTCTCAAGCATCTTCAACCTCACTCTCTCCATGGCCTCCTTCCTTTCTATTGAACAACAAACAACAACTTAACTTTAACTTTGTCACCCATTCTAGTTGCCATTTATAATGCCTGCATTTGCTTTTGCTCAGTACCCAACTTTTTGGCCTGTGTCCACTTTCTCTCCTTAATGCCGTATGTTCTGGCCCCTATCTCTATCACCCTACTAAAATAGTTCTTGCTCAATGCTGTCCTTAATTCCTTTCTTCTTTGTATTATCTGATAATGTTGATTATTCCTACTTCTATAAATTCTTCTTGTTTTTCTAGTTTTCTTCCAGCCTCTTAGGCTGCTCTTTCCTTTTTTTTTTTTTTTAAAAAAAAGGTTTACTTATTTGTTTGTTTATTTATTTATTTAGAGAGGGGGTGGGGGGAAGGGCAGAGAATCCTCAAGCAGACTCCCCACTGAGTGTGGAGCCTGACATGGGGCTCGATCCCAGGACCCTGAGATCATGACCTGAGAGTCCAATGCTTAACCGACTGAGCCACCCAGGTGCTCCTAGACTGTTCTTTTTCTAACTGCTCTGCAAACTCCTCTTTCTTTCCTTCTCCCTTACTGTGGGTAGCCACCAAAGTTCTGTATTTAACCCTTTGCTGTTCTTTCTCTCACTTGTCTTTCACATTCATTTATTGATATCCTCCAAGCTTCAGCCAACAACTCTGTACTACCATCTTCTATTCCTTCTACTTTCTTGAACACTAATTTGAATATAAATCCTTTATTTCCTAACTACCTACTGTCTGAAACTGATCTCATATTCTACAAATCAGTCCCATGCAACAGTCCATTTCTGTCAATGTTACTAGTATGTGCTTAATTTGTAACCCCCCCCCCCCGCAAAAAACTCTATGTTGAAGCCCTCAGTATGTGACCTTATTTGGAAATAGGCTCTTTACAGAGGTAATCGAGTTAAAATGAGGTCATTTGGGTGGGCTTATGGACTAGTATACTTATAGAAAGGAGAAATTTGGACACAGAGACACGCAAACAGGGAGAATGTCATGTAAACATGAATGCAGAGATTGGGGTGATGCATCTACAAGCCAAGGAGTGTCAAAGATTGCCAACAAACCATCAGAAGCTAGGAGAGAGGCATGGAACAGATTCTCCCTCACAGCCCTCAAGAGGAATACACCCTGATGACACCTTAATCTCAGACTTCTGGCTTCCAGAACTGTGAGGCAATAAACTCTGTTGTTTAAGCCACTCAGTTTGTGGTACTTTGTTGCAGTAGCCCTAGAGAACTAATATGACCACTGACCCTCCAATCTAATCTCCCAGACTAGAAAACCTAGCCTCATCTCAGGTTCTTGCTTTTTCTTCATCATCTATATCCAATCTGGCGCCAAAGACTTTAGTTATTCTTCTGAAGTGACTCCTAGCATCTTTAATCTCATATTTTCTGTTACATCCTTTTATTTTACTATTTTATCTCAGTTCCTGTTACCTTCACTCTAGTCCTGGGCTTCATCATTTTATATCTAAATTCCTATAAAAGTCTCTGGCAGGTCTCTCTTTCTCCAAAATTTATTTCCTAAAATATATAATTCATGTTGCTTTTATCATACTAGTGCCATGACTGAGACATGCTTATAGTGCCATGTTGTCTATTATGGTAAATGTAACCTTGGCATTCATGGTTCCCCATAATCTGGATCCATCTTGTCCATTCAATCTTTTATCCCCCTATACCCATCATCTTTATTTCTCTCTTTGAGCCATGTTCCTTCTCCTCTCCTGCCTCCACATCAAGATACTTTCTTACTCTCCTCATCCAAACCTTCATCTTTTTTTTAAAATTTTATTTTATTTTATTATGTTATGTTAATCACCATACCACCTGTTCATCTTTCAAGATCCCAATCAGCTTTCACTGAATGCAACTACTCTGGCCACACTGCATTCTCTTGGCCTTGCTGCATTCTAATCAGTACCTTACAGGTTAGAACCAAGTGGTATTTCTTATATTTATGTAAATTTACACATATTGTACCTCTATTTCCATAAGCTTATAGGATGCAGTCCTGGTTAATTAATTGATCAAACTTTTAAAGAGGGAATAATGAGAGGTGGGGAGAGGGAAGGAAGGAGACTGGAAACCAAGAGAAGTGAAAACTTTGGCTAGAACAACGAAGGAGAATGAGTCTCAGTCAATGTTTTCCAAATGTGCTCCCTGGACACAGGGATGCCTGATAAAAAAATGCAAATTCCTGAACTTCATTACAGACCTACTTAATCAAACCCTGCAGCCCAGAAATCTTATTTTTTAAAGGTAACCCAATGATGCTTATAGATACCAAATCTGAGAACCACTAGTCTAAGTGGAAAAGGCAGACAATAGATGCAGAAAAGGAACAGGCGTTCTTAGGTTTACTGGGCACATGTACTTCCCATCATGGCTAACAATAGAATGAAAATAGTTTTATACTATCATGATTTGCTTTGATGTGATTTCCCCTCTTCAACACATTGCTTTGAGCACAGCAGTCCTTTCTTCCATGGCAAGGTTTCCAGTACTGCATCACAAACATGGGCTGGGTAATACAGAGTCCCCGGAAGAATAGAAATTTTGTGGTACTCCAAGGAAAGGTAACGGAGACTGCTAGGCTAGCTGTGACTCTTACTTTCTTTGGGAAGTAGAATTTAACCAGACACATGCTCTAGGCTTCTGGAATTCAAGTTTGGTAGCATGGAGAGAGAAAAAAACAACTCTGAGATCTAGTGCTTAAGCTTTTAATTGGAACCACGTGAAACTAAAACATGTAGCTGATTTAGATAAAACCTGAGGACCTGCTTACTGGCTCACACTGAGCAGGATTTCTGCAGTTGACTACTACAGAAGCAAGATAACAAAATTAGATACGATCGAGGGGAAGAAAAATGCACAAAAGTCCTTGAATTAAAATGAATTGAAACCTTCTGGGAGAAAAGCTATTTGGTAAGCTCCATTAAGTCTACTGTAGATAGCTTTATTTGACAAAGCAGGATCCTGGCATGTGGAACAGGAAAGAAAATAGCTATAAGATGATCTGTCAGGGAGTTTCCAGTCTCTAAACGAATAAGATTCTGTGCAGTAGCCAATACAGCTTTTAACTCAAAAGAGATACAGAAGCAAAATGCAATTATATAACACTAGTAAGTGCATTTAATCTGAATCTCCCATACACCCCCCTGCCGAATAACTCCTCAAATTCAGCAATTTATCAAGCAAATACTCAAACTGATGGTCACGTTAATTTCAGGGGAACACTGGATTAATGCTGTATACAATACTGCAGATACTGAGATGGAGACAGTTCTATAAGTCAAAGATTAGTCAGCTATAAAACATCTTGGCTAAGCACTTAACTAATTTGAATAACTCAATTATTATGAAACTCTTTTGTTTTTTTAGCTATAAGTTTATAGTATGTGTTTGCAGTAATTAGTTCACTGTTCTGAAAATGCTAACTATCTACTGATTACAAAGGATTTATTCAATATATATGGAGGTTTAGATGTTTAGGGATCTAACATATGGCAGAAATAGAGGAAATTCAGATGTAACAGCTACAAATGCCTTTTTAAAAGTCTGAGTTGATAGCTTTCTTTCCTTAAGAGTTTCTGTTCATGGAGTGAAGATTCTAGGACCACTCAAGTGGCTATAAAGCTGCTGACTTCAATATGCAAGTACTGAAACCAAGAAATTCTGATTTGCATTATAATCAACCAGTTCTCTGTCGGTCTCTGTCTCTGTCTCCATCTCTGTCTCTGTCTCTGTCTCTGTCTCTCTCACACACACACACACACACACACACAGTAGGGACAGTTTACTACAATATCTCTAATGTCTAGCACAGTGCTTGTCATGCAGTAGTTATTAAATGAATGAATGAATTTGTTTAGCCATCCCAACATTCCTGTTAGATGGTTGTATAATGTACTTACAAGGGTGGAACCTGAGCTCAGTGGGACAGAAGTCCTTCCTGAGTCAAGAAGAACACAGTTGGGACTAGAACTCAGGTCCTCTAACTTTAGGTCCAGTGCTTTGTCCACTGTACCTTACTGACTCCTAAGACGGTCTAGAATGGCTTACCTGAAAATACTGGTCTTTTGGCTGGTATTTTTATCTCCCTTCTGGTAATTCTCTCCCTGGTTTGCTATGAAATTGAAAGGTGGTATAGTGTCATATTGTTCAACAGGTTTGCCTTATGAGTTCCACTGGGGATCCACATTGTGGCCTGTCTCATGGTGAGGTCCTGACTATACTAAGTAAGAGCAAAAGCTTTTACCCAAACATCTGTCTGTGGACTCCTGTTTGGTTCCCAATAAACCCCTAAATAACCACAATAAAAGTCAGCAGGTAGGTAGATTGTCATATATTATAGATATTTCCCCTTAGTTGGTAGAGTCTCTTTTAATTTTGTGATTCTTTAAAGAAAAATATTTAATTTATAGGAAGATAAATTTATTAAAAGTATCTTTTATAATTTTATCTTTGGAGAACTTCATCCCAAATTATATAAACAACTCCTATATTTTCCAGAATTTCTTTTGCTATGTTTATTTTTTTTTACATTTGAATCTTAAATCCATCTGTTACTAATTCTGGTGTAAGGTATACGGGATGTAGGGATCTAACTACTTTTTAAAATGTTTGGCTAGTTGTCTATTTATGTGTAAGCTCTCTTATGATTCCTACTATAGAACATACTATTAACAAATCCAAATCAAGTATAGAACAGTGCTGCCTAAATGTCTAGCCCTCCTAAGGGAAGAAAGTCCACTTTTAATTCGGCACTGTAATGGAAGATGGGAATGAATAAAAAGATCCTTAGCCACAGGGTTGATATTCAGCCACTGTGTACTTATATGGCTTTACCAATTGTTTCTAGCTGGTTCCAGACTTATAGTTTTCTGCCCATAACTTACTGGATGTTAGAAGTTTCAAAATATCATCCCTGCAAGTAGATGTTAGTTAAATGAAACAAAACAGAATTATCTTTACCTGATTCCTCAGTTTCTTTTGTTTCTGTGGTTTCTTCTATTTCGTCATCGGACATCTCCATTTCTTCTTCTCGCCTGATTCCCATTAATTCATCATTATGTATGTTGCGAATTTCCTAAGGTTAAAAGTTATGCTTTGTTGGTGGGAAAGCTTTGAAAATGTTGAAGAAATGAACAGAATTAAGGATAAGATAAAGCAGGGTTTTTTGACATATGAAAAAACTTCAGAGTACTCTTAAGGCAAGGACAAAGGGGCACATTGGGGCTGAAACTCTCTTGACAGACAAAGCAGACTGTTAACATTGTCTTCCATAAGGCATTCGTTCCATATCCAGAGCTCTGGCAGTTGATGATTCTTATATCCATCTTATATTAGAAAGTACTGTTGGTCATGAAAGGCCTTTTACCTCTTACATGGATTTCTGGACTTTCCTTGAAGGGTTCTGCCATTTTCACCTTCCCATGTCAAATCCTTTAATTTTGCATCTTTCCATCCTCTTCCCTCTCCACTTACAGACTTACTCAATAGAACTCTTAATCTAACTTTTGCACGTTTAGAAGTTACAGCAAAAATGAGCTGTCAGGAGTGAACTTCAATCAGATCAACCCTTCCATGGATAATAACTATACTCTGAACAAAACACAAAATCAAACCAAGCCAAACCCCTAACTACTTGATGGCACTGGAGAGCAGACAAAAGCAGGCATATCCTAAAGAGTGGCTGACACTTGGAAGAAGGATGTGGGTCTCTCAGTTTTTAAGGGCCTTTTAGTCTGACAGCAGACCACAATTAGCAGCTCACAGAGTAGCTACATTTTTAATAGAAAACCTTGTCTTTACATCCTAAAGAAATCAAGGAGATAGCCACAGGAAAGTGAGGAGGGGATCCCAGAAAGGAGAGAGCCAAAGAGGGAGAGAGATCCAAATTCTGCCTATAATATCTACTCAAATTTCTGCATGACCCTTGAACCATGGAAGCACAGGACAGATTCCAAAGAACACAGCTAAGTCTAAAAGAACTGAACTGAGATTTGAGCTGCCATCTAACAGACATAATTTCCAGCTTAAATTCAATTAAGTAAATTGACTGTTAAAACCAAAGAAACCAAAGTCAACCTTCTTTGGAAGAACATAACAAAATGAACATAACAGAATATAATCAGAACCTTAAAAGCAAAATATTCAAAGGCAAGCCCAAGTTACCTGACATACAAAGAACTAGGATGAGATGACCCGTCTTCAAGAGAAAAGATCATCAACAGAAATCAAACTTGAAATGAACCAGATATGGCAGTTGGCAGATAAGGAGTTAAAGCAGCTATTATAACTATCTCAGTGATGGAAAGGAAACATCTCATAATGAATGAAAAGATAGGAAATCTTGGCAGAGAAACAGAAACTTTAAAAAAGAACCAAATAGAAATTCTAAAACTGAAAAATATAATATCCAAAATAAAAGTAACTGGATGAGTCTAACTTTACAATAAGGATGGCAGAACAAAGAGAGAACTTAAAGAGAGAACAATACAAATTTATCCAATCTAAAGAACAGAGAGAAACTAACTAGAATCACAGAGAGAAGAGATTAAATGATTCAAGATTCTTGAAAAAAAAAATAGTTGAAGATGTCTCAACTTTGATGAAATACATTAATCTATATATTCAAAGAGCTCAGTGAACCCCAAGCAGGAGATGTGTGAAAAAGGTATGTCTAAGAACACCATAGTCAAATTGCTGAAACTAAAACATTAAGAGAAACTCTTTAACTCTTTAGTTAGCTAAACTCATTGTGATAAGCATTTCACAATCCATGTAGGTCAAATCATAATGCTGTGCATCTTAAACTTATACAGTACTATATGTCAGTTCTACTCTCAGTAAAACTGGAAGAATAGAGAAACTCTTAAAAGCATCCAGAAAAAAAACAACAACAACACATTATATACAAGGAGACAATTCAAATACTTTGATTTCTTTCAGAAACAATATAGGCCAGAAGTCAGGGGAACAGTATCTTTAAAGTACAGGAAGAAATAAAAATCACTGTTTATTCAGAATTCTATAAGCAGAGAAAAATTCTTTCAAGAATGAAGATGAATTAAATCTATTTTCAGACAAATGTAAATGCAAGAATTTGTCATCCAAAGATTTGCACTATAAGAAATGTGGAAGAAGTTTCCTCAGGCTGGAGGGAAGTGCTACCAAGCTGTAAACACAGATCTTCATGTAGGTATGGAGAACTTTGGAAATGATGGAGATCACACTGGAAAAGTCACTTTAAAAAAAGTCAGCATGAAAACTGCATTTTGGAGCAGCTTGCAATCATTTAGAGGCCACTTAATGCCTATCAGAGGCTTCTCAGCACTGAGCTGAGAATTCCTTGCCTATGTTAGCCCCAATTGGGCCATAATACAGGAAATATCCAAAGCTGTCTGGTGAAAATTGCTTCCATTTAGGGGGATTATAAATACTTCAAGTGGATTTCTTAATAATTAATGCTATAGTTAATCACTATCTCAACTAATATTCTCATTTTTTATGCCTTTCACCGGGAAAAGTAATAATTTCTATATCAAGGTAAGTTTTAGCTACAGATAAATAAAAGTCCCTTTTAAAAACACAAGCCATTCAGTATTTTCACTGGTAGTTAAGAGGTAATAGAAAAATAGAAGTACTAGAAAATAGAACTACCAACATAGCATCTCTCATGTGCTGCAGGGGCATTACTTAAAATAGAAGAAAACAGTGACTTGCTTGAGAAAAATGAAATTTAAAGGGCTGTGTCAAGAGAGAGATTTGCTATGTCTTATTCAAACTCACTGCATAGAGAAGAAAGGAACTGCTCATTTCTAGGAATTCATTCTGTCTCAGGAGTCTGGGTTTCAGTTACCATCAAAGAACAGTTACTGGCAAGGTGATTATAATGAGGTTTGACACTGGCAAATTCAACTATTGTACAACTTGTGGCATCAGGAAAAGTTGTGGCTCTCCTAGTTGCCTAACAAAAATGTAGCCTGTCGGAGGGTGTAAGCAGAGACCAACTTTCAATTCACAAACATGTCATCTGACTCTAGGAAAGTTATTGTGTTTCTCAGAAGAGTAAATTGTGTTCCTTCTAAGGAAATGTCCCAGGGCAGGAAGATCTAACTGAGAGCTAAGACATGCCCTGTAGCTGCTCAGCACCCACAAAACATCTTTCTGCTTCCAGCTGGGCAAGAAAGCATAATCTCTTCTGAGAAGTATAAAAAGTTCAATAACTAAGTGATACAGCTTATCTAGAGGTCTTTCACATCTTCAAAAAATCTCCAGAAATAGAAAGACCTATGGGTAAATTTTACCTCAACGCCTGAAAATACTTCAGGAACAAGAGTTACCAGTTCCTTTAGCTGAAAATGAAACGAGGGTAAGAAAAACTAAGGGGACCCTTGTTCTCCATTGTTCAGTCAGGCATGCAAAGTGGCAGAGCTTAGAGCCTTCTAACTACCAGGCAATCCGCCTTAGCTACAAAGAAACTAAGCCCTGTACAGTTACTCTCCTATAAATATCCAATAGGAAGTCACATGAATGGGACAAAGGCAAAGAGAACATCAGAGGTTATAGGGTACCATATTAAGGTAAACTCACGAGGAGCATTTAGTAAATGACAGTACCCCTAAGTAAAGCAAGTAAGTTTTTAATTCTATGAAAGCCTTACATTTAAAGCACTTGGTATCTAAGATACCTGTTTTCTGTCTTTCTGGTTGGGTCAAAAAAGCTCTGTTTTGGGAAGCAAACTCTAACAAATACCTTCAGAGTGAAGGACTAAAAGGTAACATTTCCCTAAGGAAGGCACTCTACCTAGCTGGGGCATAGGTGCAGGTAGGAGGAGGACTCTGAGCCATTGAAGTGCAGGCAGCAAGGGAAGTCGCTGCCTCCCAGATTTGCCCCCTTTCCCATCCTGACATTTGGATCTAGGGCTAAAACCAAAAGAGTGGCAATGGCAGGCAAAAACATTTTCCATAAGTTTTCATTTGTAAATCTCTACCTGAAATTGAGTGGGCTGTGTCACTGAAAGACTATATTGAAAATGGAAAGATAGCACTCCTGAAGTTTCTATTCTATTCTCCTGCCCACAGTCAACCTGTGAGATTTTTCATTTAAACAGCAAACTGTTAGTGATTTCTAAAAATGCATTATAATGGCTTTGAGTCTGTTTTAATGATAACTTTTTCTGATGCTCAGAACTTCACACACTGCTCCACAATGGAGGAGAAAGCACTTTTACGTAGAATTAAACTGAAACCCGAGACAGAGGAAAATGCACAGACAGAATCACCTTTGTGCCAGCTGACATTTTTAATTTATCATAAAGTAAGCAAATCACAATCATTGCACATTAAGTATCTAACTCTACAGTTTCACAAAAAGTTATGTGAATTTAAATTCATCTTACTCATGTGTTATGATAGGAACATAGTTATCAGTAGAGCAAAGTTCCTTGTTAATTGTGTAACAAAAATAGTACTTACCTAGACTTTCAACATTAACAGGATACTTGGTGAGGAAGGGGTCAGATGAAGGAATGGAAAGGAACAGATAGCTTCTACATTTATGTAGAAATTTGAATCTGAGCTATCATTCAGTACAATGAAGCAAAGCACAAACACAAGTTCTTAATGCCTATTGTATGATACATATGGAAATAAAAATAAGGTTGATCCAAATCGTGTTAATAGGTATTCTGATGGCTGAAAGCTAATAGCTAGTGTTAGAACACATGGGTGCTAAAACAAGGGTATGCAGATGACTTGAACAATGTATCTGCAAACAGTTCTTCAGAGTTTGGAATGGTAGGCTTGGAAATCTAGAGAGAAAGTTATTTTAGCAATCATAGTATCTCATTTTACAAGAATGCTAGCAATTGTCAAGTCCCTTTTCCTCTAGCCTGATGTTATAAAATCTCATACTGGGGTGGATGCAAGGGGGTCTGTTCTAGTGCCTACTGCTATGGCTCTAGTTTCTATATATCATCCAAGGTTTAGCTTGTAATCTAGGCCAGCTTCTCAGTGAGAGAAACACACAGGTTTTAAATGGTTCTATAGAAAAAGAGCTCCTACGATAGAGAGAGCTATCAGCAAAGTCGCTGTAGAGTTTTTAGTAAAGAGAGAAACTTTAGCTTTCTTTTATTACCCTTTTCAATTGTATCAGCAGGAGCCTCACACACATATAAATCAGGAAAGTAAACCAATGAAAGACTCATTAGCAAACTAGTATGCCCAGCATATGCTACAAGGTGAGAGCCTGAGCTCCCTGAAGGTGGGGACTTTTCCTTCTTAATCCATAACCCCACTCTCAGCAGAGGAAGGCACTGTTGGCTGCTGGTAGGATGACAATAAGACAAAGAGCAGGTACTTTGTGACATGAGGAGGTTACTGGCTAGGTCATTCTCAAAGGCAACTGGTAAAGAAGGCTCAAGTCAGAAACTTTCACCTTGATGAAACCTCTGACTTAGGAGTTGGAGCTTTGAACCACAGGCCAAAAAAAGCCAGTCTAGTTGATTTAAGTCACTGAGATGCTCTGGTTCTCACTGGGGTGCTCAGAGACAGCCCCAATTTAAGAGGATGCTTGTCACTTTCTAGAATTTCCTATTACCAAGTTAAAGTATGCAGAGGTTAAAAAAAGCCATGATTTAAAGAGGTACCCATGTAAAGTAGAAGAGGTCTTTTTTAGGTTTAGGAAATGCAATGCCAAAAGGTCATGAGCTATGTTCCACTCTCAGTAGTTTTACTTATCAAGATTGAGGTATTCAAGGTAGCCCTTAATTTAGTCCAATCCAGTAGGCAGGAAGCATTTTTCTGGGTTTCCACGAAGTCTACAAAATACATTATGAAACATGTAGCTCTTGGCAAGTCATGCTAGCCATGTCCTTTATCCTCATCACTCTGCCAAGGAAGCTCTGCTACAATATTAGGTGATAGGGTGGATAGCTCTCATTCTTTACAGGCCCAGAGAAATGTCCAGCTTACTGGCTATCTTTACTGAGAAGGTAATTAAACTCAAGTATGTACCCACCAGAGAGGTAGGCTTGATAGGACTATAGTTCTCTACAGAGAGCCTTGATAAATGATATTCATGGAAATATTTTATTGCAAAGTCATTTATAGAAGGGTGGTCTGGGCAAGTCAGTGCTCAAATCAGAGGCTCCCTTCCTCCTATGAAAAGACATTATTGTACTGGCAGGGCTTTCCGCATCGGGTGGGGCAGTTCAGACAGCTTCTTCCAACCCTGAGAATGGATACACGTGTATGTGTACTAAAGAAAAGTAGAGCCTTAATACTGCTTTTCTACAATTATAAGACATATTGAGCATTTTTCCTCAACCTTTATTCTTCTGAACTGTTCAGACTAAAGAGTTTGGATATTTTCAATTTAGGGTATTAAACTCCACTCCCCACCCTTGATCACTTTCTTTACCTTTCTAGCTCCCTGAGGGCAAAGACCATCTTGTCCTGAATTGCCTGTCATAATGCCTGAGACAGAGAATGTGCCTCAGTTAACGTTTGAATTGAAATGTTGAATTTTGTTTGTTGAGGCTCAACAAAGTCGGGTAGCCTTAGGACTCTAAAATCATCTTGTGGGGCGCCGGGTTGGCTCAGTTGGTTAAGCATCTGCCTTCGGCTCGGGTCATGATCCCAGGGTGCTGGGATCGAGCCCCATGTTGGGATCCCTGCTCAGCGGGGATCCTTCTTCTCCTTCTCCCTCTGCCTGCTGCTCCCCCTGCTTGTGCTCTCTCTCTGTGTCAAATAAAGAAATAAAATCTCTAAAATCATCTTGTGCTACTATATGACAGTAGCTCCCTGTTTTGTTCCTAATTCTCTTTTTAAAAATAATTTAAAACATTACTAGCTTTGTATGACTCTACTTATCCATTGGGCTGATGTCTTCAGGGAGTTCTCCTCAGTGACTCCCAGATCCCTTTGCTGAGCCAGAACTGATGAACACGGTTTGGCTTATTTTCCTCTAAATGCTCTTCACAGTTTTCAAATTGTTGCCCCACAAACTATGTCATATGTTCTCATGAAGGACAGAAAGAATAGATTGCTATCTTCATTTTATAGGTTAGGAAATTGAGGTCCACAAAGATTAAATGACTCACTCAAGAGCACAAGGCAGTTTATACCAGCACTCTGAGAAGAATTTCTAGTCTTGAACTGATCACTTACTAGCTGTGTAATTTGTGTACATCCCTTCACATTTCTGTGTCTCAGTTTCTTCACATGTAAACCATGGCTATCATACCTACTTATTATCCCTTATGGAGTTATGAATGATAAACTGAAATATTACTATTTGCCATTTATATAGCATTTACATTTTTCAAACTCTACACATCTCTTATCTCATTTAATCCCGTAAGACTGGTTTCATTATTATCTCCAATTTAGAGGTGAAGAAACAGAGACTGAGAATGACTCACTAACTTGGTCAAAGTTGCAGAGCTGCAATGTGTCAGAGCTGCAATCTAGATTCTCTGACTCCAGATCCAGTGCTCTTTCCACTATACCACATCTACTGGGAAGCTCACGTAAGTGAGGCAACCGACGTGAAAGTGCTTTATAAAATGTAAATGCCTTACAAACGCTATATAAACGGTAAGGACTATGCCAACCTGCTACCACACTAGCAAAGAGGACTCAGAGACAAAGTTGAAAAAGTTGCTGCATATACAGATCAAAAGTGTCAGGGGCTGGGTAAGGAAGCTGCCCATAGGAACAGAAGAACTTGAAGTATAGGTATCACCATTCCAAAGGCAGATCCGTGAAAATAAACCTCCCACCTTGGTTTTAAATCTTGGACTCAGGATAGCAACCTAATCACTTCAGACATGTTCTATGCTAAAAGTCACCTGAGCACAAGAGCAGAGCTGGGTGTCAACCTTAATCTGAAATCAGAGTCTTCTGTTACCTTTAAAGCTGCCACTTATAAAGATGGCTGAGTGGACTTGATCAAAGAGGCTCAGAAATTTCAATGCCCCAATGTAACACCAGCCTCGACTGTCAAGATGCTCTAATAAATGTAAGACAGCCCTAATATTACTAACACTAGACACACGGGTCAGTAATTATTGTTGTACTCAAGACTAGCTAGCTTAGAGAAGTAGACTTCAAATTATCACAGCTATATTTTCACTACTCAGGTTTTCATCCAGCAGAATGCATTCAAGACAACATGTGCACATTTATTACCCTTTTGGCAGCACATGGTCTGGTCACAGTGACAGGCAATAGAACACATCTTAGTGTTTCATTAGAGCCTTGTTGTGACCATGGGAGCTTGGCACTATTTAATTCTGACTAAACTCCAAATCAATAACTTGTTAAAGAAAGAAACTGTCACCCTGAGGGGCTACCAGAGTAAAAAGTTACCAACCTCAGCTTGTTTGCACCAAACGCTGATGTTTTTACGCTGGGCTTTTGTGAAATGGTCCCATGCCTTCTGTTTGGAGGCAGAATGGTACACAGCTACTATCTGCTCAACTGCAGCATCAGATCAGCAGTCAAATCAGGTGGGAGTATCATCCACGGGTGGCAAAAGAGAGGAGAAAAGAAATAAGAGAAGCATCAGGCTTGTTGTATCTTCTCGTATGACACCACTAGGCTATGGTTGTGCTCCATAAAGGTTACACGTGTTGGGGTACTGCGATCTTAAAGAAGACTCAAAGGCAGAGGTATCAGTATGGAGAACAAATAAAGGGAACTCCAGAAGGTCTGGGGTGAAATGGTGACTACAGTTTTAATATAGGCAGTCTGTATTCATCCAGGCAGGTGAGGCAAGAGTTGTGGTGAATGTGATTTAGTACTAATGACCCAGCGAGCGGCGAACTTGTACCAGCTCCTTCTGACCACAGGCTTCTTTCATAAACTAGCCTTCCAAAATGAGCTTGCATACTTCACTTCAACAGAATCCATCCTTTTGTTATTCTGAGGTATATTTAACCAGAAGCATCAAATTGGAACCTAAGATGAATGGAATCTATTTTAAGTCTATGTAGATGGGCTCGTTGACTGCAGAAATAGAAGTTTCATGGAAGAATACTTGCAAGTGCAGTCCTAAAGCATATTTTCCAGAGTCTCTTAAAAAATGTCAAATGGAGAAATGTGTACAAATATTCTGGTGCTTTTACCTAATCAGTTCACGAGAAGAATAGAAGAGACGGGGGAGGAATAGAAGGACAAGAGCCTCTTCCTGGGTGGGTATTCACAGTAAGAAAATCCAAAGGTGTTATTTTTTTTTCTTTACAGCCCTGATTGTACCCTATGAATGATTTAAGGATTTATAGTCCCATGATGCTTGCTGCTCTTTTTTCCTATTTGTTTTGAAGTCCTAAAAACATGTGTTTTCTCTGCCTGGATTCTATGCCCATATATATTTTCAAAATAAAAATGGAAAAATGAAAGAACTCTTCCTTAATCCTAATTATGTATGAGTCAAGTGTGGGAAGTCACATATGAGAAGAGTGGGCCTTAATTGTTTAAAAGCCAAATCATAAAACTATATCCTTATTCTTAAGGTGAATATAGTTCCTTACTCAAAATATATGAGTGTATAATTGTATAATATGTTGAACTACAAGCATCACTTGAGAATTTTTCTGATCTCTCTCATTTAAGAGACCTAGGAAAGGATTGGAGTAGTACTTCTTTTTCTTCTTCTTCTTTTTTTTTTTTGGTGCAAAAGGGTGGTTTTATTAAAGCATGGGGACAGGACCTGTGGTCAGAAAGAACTGCTAGGAGTAGTACTTCTTTTTGAAAATGGCCATTTTGGGGTGATGGGTATTAAGGAGGGCACGTGTTGTGATGTGCACTGGGTGTTATACGTAACTAATGAATCACTGAACACTACATCAAAAACTAATGATGTGCTAACAGTGGCTAACTGAACATAATAAAAAAAAAGGAAAGAAAATGGCCATTTCGGTGGCTTCCCATCCCGCCCAGTGTCTACAACATCCAGAAAAAAAAATTGAAGAAACAACAGGTAGAAGTAGCAAATTTGGCTTCTATTCAATTACCCTGGGAAACATAATTACACTTTCACTAAAATGTAGTACCTGAAAAAACTTAATATGATAATGATGCAAATCTGAAGCAGAGAAGCTTATAAATGCTGATGCTGTATTCTAACTTTAGCAATGAAATACCAAACTTTCCACCGAGGTCTGAGGCTGCTTATAACTTACTTTGAAAACAAGCAAAAGTAAAAGCACAGGATGGTGGTCTAGCTGTTCGTGTTTCTAAGGTGCTGAAGGAGATATACCAGCAAAAATAAATATAGGAGGTGCCCACATGTATCCCATTAAATTGGAGCTCATGCATTTGGCAATATAAAGAGAGCACAAGGCAGTGAAGAAGGGATCCTTGCCCCTCGACACAGACTGGTTTTGTAGGCCTGGCTCCCTTGCAGAGAACGTGGTGCCAAAGTGAAGCGCCCTCTCACCCTTCTACAGAACTCTGATTTCTACTCACATTGAATGAGAATTCCAGAAAGGGCCTGCTTGAATTTCTCCTTTGCTTCTTCCATGTCTTTCTCATGGGCAGCTTTCTCGTTCACCAGGCGGCGAACGTGGCTGTTGGCTGACTGGATCATAGAGTAGAAGTTGTTGGCGCTGCGACGGTTCACCTCTCCTCGTTCAATCCAGGTGAGCAAGGTCTGTACAGCTTCTGAGAATTTGGAATCATCTGAAAAGAGGATTTTTCAAATCATCAAAAGTAACCATGTCTCTATCTACCCAACATGCTGGCAAGGAGACCCCACCATGGCTCGTTGGAAGTGGTTGTTAAATGAACTGCAGAGGATGAAGAGCCATGCGTGCACACACAGGCAGCAGGCAGGCAGGCTGAAAGGACGAAAGACCCAAAATGTAGTCAGACTGGTTGTAGTCTATGAAGAATTTTCAGAAAGAGAATTGGCACGTATTGCATGGAGTACTGGATGTTATATGCAACAATGAATCGTGGAACACTACATCAAAACTAATGATGTACTGTACGGTGACTAACATAACATAATAAAATAAAATAAAACAAAACAAAAAAAAGAAAGAATTGTTTCTTCTTTTTTAAAAAACAGTTTCTTTACTGATACAGAGTTTATTAATTAGAGTAAAAGTTTACCGATCAGAGTTTTCACATATTGCGAATTTCTTTTTTTTTTTTTTTTAAGATTTTATTTACTTATTTGACAGAGAGAGAGAGAGAGAACAAGTAGGCAGAGAGGCAGGCAGAGGGAGAGGGAGAAGCAGGCTCTGCGCTGAGCGGGGAGCCCGATGGGGGGCTCGATCCCGGGACCCTGGGATCACGACCTGAGCCGAAGGCAGCCGCTTAACCAACTGAGCCACCCAGGCACCCCACATATTGCAAATTTCTTAACCTCTCTGATTGTATGTGTGTGCAGGTGTGTAATGTAGGAATTAGCAATGAGAGAACTGCAGAACCCTACAGACCTGTTTTTTTAATAAGGAAAAGTAAACCCGAGTCTTGAATTTAACTTGAATTTGATAGTAACTTTATCCTGGATCCATGAAATTATAGTGTTGGAAGGAGCCTTAAGAAAGAGTTACACGGGTAGTTCTTTAGGCATCAGCACTTATATTTTTGACCTCTTATAGCATCACTCCTGCATTCAGTCCACAGCCCTGGGCTTTTCACTCAGTCCCAGTCACAATCTATCTTGATGTAATTCATTCTATTTCTACATTTCTCCACATCCTGATTCTCTTGCCTGAGGAACCCTCCAAGTAGATTTCTGCAGCTAGTTAGGAGTTATTCTCTGATGTTAAAATAGTAGTACAGCTTATCCAAAGCTTCTGGTCCAGCTTCCTGTGATAGGCAGTTATATATTCTGTTAGAGGCTCCTGAGAGAGAGAGATCCATTAGCATCCCACTAAAGGCCTGTTCTAGGGCTCCACATCCCTGTCTGGCCAGAAACCCTTATGTCCAGTGGAAATAGCTCTCACTGCGATTTGAACTTCTTGCCTCTTGCCATTTTTCAGTGCAGACATATAATGAGAGGTAATCCTCCCCTTTAGGACAGCTTTTTATTTAATTACTTGCATACAATCTTTATGTTTGCTGCTCATTTTTTGCATGAGGCCCACACACCAGCACATTCATTCTTTAAAAAAAAAAATTAAACTGATTTGTTTGGTGTCCTATAAACATGACGTTTTACCAATGCTTTCAGCCATTCCAGCTTTTCAAAATGTACCATTGTTTCTGTGTCTCCACTCTGTGTCTCTCTTCTCTTACAGGAAGACAAAATCAATCCAAATGAAGGATTTCTTAAATGTGTGAATCCGTTAGGTTATATGTTGCAAACAAGTTTGGTGAATGAGACCTATTTGGAAAGTGGAATTAGCAGCATCGTGCTGAGTCTGGAGCACAAGAAGCACAGAAAATTCATACCATTAGAGCTGGGTTGGTATCATCGACAAGATCAATAGGACACCAGCATTCATCCAATAAAATCAACCATAATTGGAGAATGAAAAAGACTGGATTTGAACTACTAACACAGGAGACCAGGCAGGGCAATTAAAGTTAAATTAGAATAATGGCTCTGAGAGTCAAGCAGGGGGAACAGGAACAAAAACTAAAGGGAGAATGGTCTGATTTAGCAATGTTTCGAAGTCTCCATAGTCACCATATGAAATAAATTGGCCATTTTAAGTGATTAAAGAAGTCATCTTTTGGTTGGTGGTAGCTAAGTCTCTGAGCCATCTAAAAATGGACACTGTGACCACTCTCTGGGCCCCCATTTTCTCATCTGTGGAAAGGGAATTTTTACCAGAGTTTTCCAGAGTGACATCAACTATCATTCTGATTTAGATTTCAAAACTAACTTGTTATCCACAATGAAAGGGGATCCTGACAGGTCCCAAGTCATGAATCACAGCTAAAATGCTCTGATGTAGAAAAGTGGGGAAAATGCATCTCATCCTAGTCATCTTATGTATGGAGAGAAAAACACTATTCCTTGAGGCAGTGCAGGAGTAGAGACACAGGTGTGTGGACAAATTTTTCTGGTCCTTCAGTTACTAGGTACATCTCTCTATCTGCAAAACTCCAACACAAGAAATGCTTAGAATCCGTTAGTGGGAAATTCAAAGGATAACTGCCAACAATACAAATATATCTATTAAATTTCCCCAAAGAAAAGAGTTCTTTTAATCACAAAGCTCAAGTGCTTTCTGTACCTTTTAGTTTTTCAGCAACAATACTGCATTCGTGATCTGAATAGTGGACCACTGGTGGTGGGGATGGTGGGCGCAATCTTTCTTCTTCCATCCTTCTGCGGTGGCGCTCCTCCCTTGCGAGCATACGCTGTTTGCATTCCCACTCATACAGGTCATCTCGAGCCTGTGCAAAATCAACATGGAGCCGGCCTGTGTCCTTCTTGTCAGTGCTAGAGCCCAGGCGAATGCGGTAACCTGAGTGCACAAGAGGGAGAGAGAGGAGTACAAGAGTGGCTCAGTGGGTGAACCACTGTTAAGTACTTTTCCAAGTTCAGTGCTTCCAATGTGGTTGTAGCAGTTTCAAGTGACCACATAATCTTAAATTCTCTCCCCACTACTAGCGAGGTGAACCATCAAAAAACTTGGACTATAGTTTCATTTCTGATCACAGTTTACTATTCTATGGGTTGGGTCAATCTTTTCATAGGAGTTCTATTCCTCCATCTGCCACCCTACCTCTGGCAGAGGGAGGCTCTAGGGGTAATGGTATTAAGAATGAGCCTTATATGGCACCATGGGTTGGAAAGAATGGGAAAAGTAGCCTCAAACTGTGGTGTCTTTGGATAACTTCAGGAGTGTCAGTCATACCACTATATAGAATTTTAATAAACTTTAAATGGATCAGCTTGACATTTCAAGTCCCCAAATTGTTTCCTAGATGTATTTGGCAACCCTGAACCTTTTTTCTTTCTGGAAAAAAAATGGATATGATAGGCAGTGGTATGTGAGCCATGTGATATATAATTTGAGATCCTTAAAAAAAAGAGGTAGTGTGCTTGTAATCTAGTGGTATAAGACCAGGATTCATAAAACCAGGATTGAAGTCCATACTTCCACTTTTTGTGCCAGCTGTACTACCCAAGTTAAATCTCTTAACAAAAATGTGAGAAACATTTATTAAGTTTTTATTAACTTTTTAAGTTTCAGAAGTGGAGCTAGCTGCTTCCACACACATTTATTTTACTTCATTCTCAGCATAAGCTTGCAGACCAACTCCTGCCTTAAATAACTAAAAATATGGAAAATATATATGAAACAATCGTTTTTAAGACATTGGACATTGGTCAATGAAGACAGAGATCACTGAGAGACAAGAAGCAAATGAAGTGATCTATATGATTTCTCCAGTTTATTACATGGAGAGAGTTTCCAGGCCTTAGAACAGGGAGAGGAGCTCAGTCAAAGCATGGTGATCTCCCTGAGTTGAAGAGATGAACTAGGAATCCAGGGAGACTATGGCAGACAGAATTTATATGGCAGAGTACTGGAAAGAAGAAAGCTACACAGAGAAAGAACTTCAGAGATCTGCAGAGGGTCCTCCATTATTATTTAGCTGCACATTGATGTCTGTGTATGTGTGTATGCAGAAACTACCTGTGCATTAGAGGCAACAATCCCTGGAGCTCACATGGGGCTGGGAATAGTTCCTTTCCCCATAAGTCAGAGCAGAAAAAAAGAGAATAATTCACAGAGTATAGAGTAGAGTAGTCGGAAGGGTTTTGCCTTAGTTAGTGGAGAAAAGTGAGCCCTGGACTAAATCCTGCTCTGGTTCTGTTGAACAAAGCTTAAAAAACAAGACCTAAAAGGATAAAAATTTTTCCAAGTTACTTAACTGCATCCCAGAACAAAGTTCAAGAATATTTACAGGAATGAAAAATATATGGTACCAAACATGGTAAAATTCACAATGTTTGGTATCCAATAAAAAAATTATCCAATATTCAAAGAAGCAGGAAAATCACAAGAAAGATTAAAAAATTAACCAATCAAAATGGACCCAGAAGTGATATAGATAATATAATTAATATACAAGGACATAAAAACAACTATTATAATTGGATTTCATATGCTTAAGAAATTAGAGAAAATGTAACCATATTAACTAGTAACACAAAAGACATAAAAAATAACCAAAATCAAATTTCTAGAGATTTGAAGTACAATGTCTGAGTTGAAAAAAATTCACTGATAGGACCAATGGCAAATTAGACACTGCAGAAGAAAAGATTAAGAAGACACAGCAATATAAGTCATTCAAAATGAAATATGGAGGGAAAGGACTGAAAGAAAATGAACAGTACCAATGAGATGTGGGACAACTTCAAGGGGCCTACTATAGCCTAACTGGGGCCCTGACTGGAGAGAGGGGAGGGAATAGAAAAAAATATTTGAAGAAATAAGGGCAGAAAAATGTCTAAATTTAATGAAAACTCAGAGATCTAAGAATTTCAGTGAAACTCAAGCACAAGAAATATGAAGGACATTATACCAGGCATATAATAATCAAATTTCTCAACACCAGTAATAAAAAAGAGAATATCTTAAAAGCTTCCATAGACTTAAGACATGTGCAGAGAAACAAAAAGATAACATTATATTTCTTGTTGGAAACAATACAAACAAGAAGATAATGAAGTAACATCTGAGAGAAAAACAAAAAAAAACAACAACAAAAAAACACTGTCCACCCAGAATTCTACATCCAGAGAACGTATCTTTCAAAAAAGAAAGGTGGAATAAGTTCTTTTTGATACATACAAATGCTGAGAGAATTAATCAGGAGCAGACTTGCACTATAAAAATTGTTAAAGGAAATTCAAGCACAGGGAAAATGATATCAAATGGAAATTTGAATCTATACCAAGGAAGGAAGAGCATACATAATATATGATTCCATTTATATGAAACTCTAGAAAATGCACACTAATCTGACAGACAGTGGAACAGTGGTGGCCTGGGGAGAGAAGAAGGGAGGGGTAGGAGGAAGGGATCACAAAAGGAGTATGAAGGAAGCTTTTGGGGGAGGTGGACATGTCCATTATTTTGAGTGTAGTGATGGTTTCACAGCTGTATGTATGCATGTATGTGCCAAACTATATTTTTGAAATATGTGAATTTCATTGTATGTCAATTATTATACTTCAACGAAGCTGTTATAAAGAATGCCCCTTAACACTAAAACCGCTACACATTCTTTTTAGAAATAGGAAGAATACATTTCATAAGCACATTTTGCTAGGGCTCTTTACAGTTTACAATGCACTTTCACACTCAGTCATCTTATTTGATCATCTGAGCCATCAGAAAAATGGCTATTAATGATTATCTTGCCTATTCTTCCAGTATCATGGAGAGGATCAAACAAGAGGATGATATGAAAGCTTGGTATAAACACACGACAGATACTGTGATGCTATGAGATTGGTACATCGTGCACAATGCCAGCTCCCTAAGATGCTCAAACTCCAATAGAAAGAAATGGTTATTTCTACATTCCCAGCCCCTTTTCTAAAGGATTTTTGTTTGTTTTAACCTTTTTTTTTTTTTTTTTTTACAATGTGGGAGAATAGCCAACCAATTCAGGACATTTCTAGCACTTATGAGCTTTCGGGGAGCAGGTTCAAATTTAAAGGGCAAAATTTAGTTATTTTCTCATCACTGATGATTGCAATCCCTTCTCCTGGCAGCCTTGAGAATGTTTCCAGGATGTAGTTGCTGCCAGAGAGCCGATTTCAATGATGTTTAGATGGATACCTCCTGAGCAGCATGTCATCTTTTATGTACAACTGTTCAGAGTTTTTCAAGACCTTTAAGTTCTTATTAAAACTGTCTATTGTGGAATGCTCTATTATCATTCCTAAGTGCTATCAAATCTTCTGTATATTTTACAGCACTTAGAAAATGTAATAACGTGGGGGGTGGGAGGGATGGGGTGTCTGGGTGATAGACATTGGGGAGGGTATGTGCTATGGTGAGCGCTGTGAATTGTGCAAGACTGTTGAATCATAGACCTGTACCTCTGAAACAAATAATACATTATATGTTAAAAAAAAAAAAAAAGAAGAAGAAGATAGCAGGAAGGGAAGAATGAAGGGGGGAAAATCGGAGGGGGAGATGAACCATGAGAGACTATGGACTCTGAGAAACAAACGGAAGGTTCTAGAGGGGAGGGGGTGGGGGGATGGGTTAGCCTGGTGATGGGTATTAAAGAGGGCACGTACTGCATGGAGCACTGGGTGTTATACGCAAACAATGAATCATGGAACACTACATCAAAAACTAATGATGTAATGTATGGTGATTAACATAACATAATAAAAAAAAGAAGAGAAAATGTAATAAGAGTATTCTACATCTCAACAGCCAAATTATGGAAGCAGCCCAGTGTCCATTGATAGATGAATGGATAAAGAAGAGGTAGTATATATATACATACAATGGAATATTATTCAGCCATAAAAAGAATGAAATCCTGCCTTTTGCAATGACATGGATGGAGTTAGAGAGTATTATGCTAAGTGAAATAAGTCAGAGAAAGACAAATACCATATATGATTTCACTCCTATGTGGAATTTAAGAAACAAAACAAATGAGCAAAAGGGAAAAAAGAGACAAACCAAGAAACAGACTTAACAATAGAGAACAATCTGATGGTTACCAGAGGGGAGGTGGGTGGGGGGATGGAGGAAATAGGTGATGGGGATTAAGGAGTGCACTTGGGATGAGCTCTGGGTGATGTATGGAAGTGTTGAATCACTATATTGTACACACCTGAAACTAATATAACACTATATGTTAACTAACTGGAATTAAAATAAAAAAACTTTATTAAGTTTTTAACGCTCATTAAGTTTTCCCTGGCCTGTTGCAACAGGCATCTGACCTCCCCTCCTCCTAGATACTGGGTATCAAAGTTAAATAAGACACAGTCCCTTCATTTAAGGAGTTCATACTCTGGTCAGGGAGACAGATGTGGAAAGAGACAGTTCTAGCATGGTGCTATAGGTATCATGCTAGGAGGAAACATTGGGTACTGTGGAAGTGCTAAGGAGGGGGTGCCCAGACCAGCCTGAGGCACAGTGGGGAGAGAAGTCAGAGAAAGCTTTCTAGAAGAGGTTATGCTTGAGCTGGAGGTTTGAGGTGTGAGGATGTATATATGGCAGGTGGGATGGAAAACGTAATTATAGTCAGAGGAAAAAGCATAAAGCACCATGGCACATTCTGAGAACTAGAATTAGCTTAGTGTGGTTAGGACATGGTATGTGAAGGAAAAACTGGGAGATGGTGCTGTGAGGTAAGACAGATAATCAAGGCCCTTAGATGTGACAAGTAAGGAGTTTTGGACAACAGAGACAACTGAGAACTACCAAAGAACTTTAAGAAACTGGGTGCAAACATTCATTTTCCATCTCTGAAGGCAAGAGGGGATAGCAAAAACTTTATCTGCCACAGATGCAAATACAATGACCCGCAATCTCTGCACTGTGCCTGGTGGGCACACTGCTCATAACTAAACACCTACCAGAAAGATAAAGGGCTTTGTCCACCATGTATTCCTCAGCAAAGCGAATGTGACAAAAGTTCTTTTTGCTCTTCCGAATAGCAATGATCTCTCCACACTGTTCGAACACTTCCACAATGATCTGCTCTGTCCCATTTTCAGGAAGGCCACCCACAAATACTGTTTTGCACCCTGGTGGTCGTTCTCGAGTTGCAGGAGGTGGAAGATCTGAGCAGAATTGCAAAAGTAATTAAATTAAATTAAAAATTAAATTAAAGAATTAAGATGTTTGCTTGGGACAGACCTCTTAGAAATCTAACATGTCCCAGAGATAGACCTTCGGTCCCCATCAGACTTTGGCCCGAATGCCAAAAGCATGTGGCCTCTAAGGCACTCATCTCTGCTCCATAGCACATGGAAATCATTTTATTCAATGATTTGGTGATCATGATGCCTAAATGATAAAGACTCAGACCCATCTGTCTGTCCCATCCAGAGTTCTTTAATTCTGTTATTTTTGCTGTGACAACTCAGCTATGCCCAATTTTCAGTCATTTTTGCTAATAAGACAGTTGGGGGGAAGTCCCACTTACTTTAAATTCTTACTTTCTGGAATTCTCGGAACCAAGGTCCCTGAGAGAAGGGTTGTTTAATTCAGTTTATAGTTACTAAATTCTCTGTTCATGCTTACTGAAAGAACTGTTTCAGAATTAATTTGACAATGATGGGGTAAACATTTACAATAATATTTATGGGTACCAGAATGATTTGGCTGACAAAGTCAGCCAGACTATAAACCATCCTTTCTAGGTTTTTTGTCTTTTGATACCAGTGAGTCCTTCTTCCAATTTCTGGCTGGAGAGGTGAGATCCAGAGTCAATCCTGCAGCATTTCGAGGGAAGTATGAAAGACAGCAGAGAAAGTAAGCTCATCTGGGAAATTATTAACTAAAGTGAGATAAATTTGTCATGGAGAGTCATTAAAAACCTATTTAATGAGGTGATTCTCCCTCTGCTAAAAAATATGCTTTCTACTCGCTCATCTTATACATAAAGCCTGTTGTATCTGCCAGCCCCGTCTTGCTATTTCTATGTATCCAAGCATTTTCCAAGCAAAATTCTACAGTTCACAGCCCAACAAAACAAAGCATGAAGGTCAAGGGTTTTTTTTTTAGTGTGGGTTTTGTATCTGCAAGGATTTATTTTGTGTAATCCATTCTTTCCATTCAGCTCTTCACAATAATTCTCCCAAGATTTGGAGAGCTCAACAACTAGTGATTACAGCTCCCATGCAAAAATAAATGAGTCTCACTTGTAGAGCAGGCCAAGGTCCCCACTTGATGCTTATCCAAGTTGGCAAGTGGATGATTTGGGAGCCTCCTTGGGTATGAGCATCTCTAGCTTCCTCACTTTGCTACCACTGTCGTCTTATCAGTGTGGCTCAGAATAATCAGGTTCTCGTGATGCTCTCTTCCCCTCTATTTATTCAATAAAAGAGGTAAAGGGATTCAGGGAACTTACAAAGTTTCTGTTAATTTTAAAAATTTCTGTCATTTCAAGAACTCACTGTATGGTATTTGTTCTATAGGAGAAGTTTAAAAGGAAAAGGAAGATAACCTAGTGAGCAGGAATCTGAAATGTCTTAGTCATGTGCACTGGAGCAATTTGATTTTAGCCAAAAAGGGGAAAAATGAGGTCCAGAATATCTTGAGACTTCTGCTTCTGAGTTTTTTTAGGAAATAGAAGGATTCTAATATCACACACTTCCAGTGATTCTCAACTCTGACAGCATATTAGACTCAACTTAGGAGTCAAACAAAAAATCTTGGGTCCACTCCAATGAGTGATTTAATTAGTTTGGGTGCAGCCTGTGCATTATTTTTTTTAAAGCTCCTCAGGCAACTCTAATGAAAGCTAGGATTGAAAACTTGGTCTAAACTTCTCATGTTACAGAGAAAACCTTAGCTGAGTGAGGTTGAGTGACTCATTCAAGGCCACCAAATTAGAAGGAGAAGGAACATGAACTTGGAGCAGGTAAACTTGGATTTAAACTTCAACTTAATAACTGTCTGTAGGACCTTGTGAAAATTACATAACCTCTGAGAACCTCATTCTTTCATCTGTAAAATGGGGATACTGTCTTCTACCTTACAAAGATTTTTGTAGGATAATCTACTGTCTATATTGCAAGTGGTACAATGCCTAGCACTTGATAGGTTCCCAATAAATAGTAGTTATTGTAGTGTTATTATTATTTACTGTTATAGAACCCCGGTTTCCTGATTACCAATCTGAGGCTTTCTAAAGCCCTACCACAAGTCTGGAGTGGAGTGGTAGCTTAAGACCTGGACTTCTAAATTCCCAGCTCCTTGCTTTATCCAGATCTTCAGATAAGGCTTGGTTTGGGAAGGAATCACTCTTCTCAATAGAGGAATCTACAGCTGTGAAGACACATATAGTTTTTTTTTTTTTTTTTGAATATTATTAACCTTTACTGAGAACTTACTTTGTGTCAGTTCTTTTTTTTATTTATTATTTTTTTATTTTTTATTCTTATGTTAATCCCTATACATCACATCATTAGTTTTAGATGAAGTGTTCCATGATTCATTGTTTGTGCATAACACCCAGTGCTCCATGCAGAATGTGCCCTCCTCAATACCCACCACCAGGCTAACCCATCCTCCCACCCCCCTCCCCTCTAGAACCCTCAGTTTGTTTTTCAGAGTCCATCGTCTCTCATGGTTCGTCTACCCCTCCGATTTCCCCCGCTTCATTCTTCCCCTCCCGCTACCTTCTTCTTCTTCTTTTTTTTTTTTTTCTTAACATGTAACCTACAAGGGTAGAAACATTAGATTGGCAACAGACCTATCCACAGAGACCTGGCAGGCCAGAAAGACACATATAGTTTTGACCATGGAACACAGAGCCATGTTTTCAAAAAAGGGGCTTTAGCCAAAAATCCTGTTTTAGAATCCTTCTGAAGTTTACTATTTAAGGAATTTGATGGTAAAGAAACTTTTTGTGGAGCAAATGATCACCTTTTTACATTATTTAAGTTTGCTTAGTTAGGTCTTCCTTTTGGTCCACTGAGAGACTCTAAGGAATGTCTGGTTACTTTGCCACAGTTACATATAACACTGAAAATACAAAGGCTTTTTCCTTTAAAAATTCTGCGGGATTTAAAAATTCTGTGATGAAGTCATCATCCTATTCAGATGCTGTGATTATTTTGTGGTAACTGCTAAGTAAGAAAGCATAAAAGCCACTAAGAGTGGGGTCAAGAATGCTGGGGTTTATTTATTTTCCTTGGGTAAATGTAGAAAGCCTCTTCGATAGCATTCGCTGAGATTTAGGTGTATGCCACTCAACAAGGCAATGGGCTGTACTGTCTTCCTTAATGGATAGTACTTATACTTTAATTAGCAGCTCAAAGCACTTTGCTGTCTGGGCCTGGTTTTCTAATCCCACTGAAATATAGTGATCTGGGCACAGCAATGATAACTCCATAGGAGAGCAAATTCAAAGTTCACCTATTAATCAGGTAATGTGCTAAACTCTCTTAACACCCCAACCACTACTCTGGATAGAGAAGAAAACTTCATGTAAAATGATTCAAGATAACTGAGAGTATAAAGAACTTTAATCTCTGGTAATGGAAAAGGAGGAGCTTCTAGCAACTCTAATTACAACTAAGCACCTACTCTGGGGAGCTCTTTTGGGGCAATCAGCATTAAGATCGGAGTCACTGCTGATCTTTGAGAAGTGAGGTAGGAGGCAGCAAGTGGCATAAACCACTTGCTTGTTTCTTGCTTTTCAAAGGAGCATCAGATATCACTCCACTGGTTTGGCAGAATTTATGTACTGCAAAGTCTTTGAGTTGATTTTATTAGACAGCCCAAGACTGAAGCAATCAGCAGGGGCCAGATATATTTTAATGTAATTTCAACTGATTGGAAATAATCAGAAGACTGGTGAATCTTTATTACTTCTCAATTTACCCACTTTCTCTAATTTTCTTTATAGAACCCAGCCCTAGGAGCCAAAATGAGGTTGGACTGTTCTGAAATAGTAAAATGAAAAAAACTGCTTTTTTTTTCTGGCTCCTGGGTGCTTTCCCACATCCCCGTACATAGCAGGTGATATTCCACCATTTATTCCACATTTCCTGTTAACTGGACAATAGACTCAAAATGCAACCTCTCCATGCTGAAGGTCTATCAGCTGAAGTGGGAGGAAAACCAATAGTGTCATATTCTGAAAGCCAAGTAAAAAAGTATACCAATGAGTAAGGAGAAACCAACTGTGTCATATATGGCTATTAGGTCATTTAGGAAGAGAACTGAGAATTGACTATTGGATTTAGTATTATAAAGTCACTAGAGTTCTTAAACAAGGGGCATTTTGAAAGAGGGGTAGGGCAAAAGCATAAATGAAGAAGATTTAAAAGAGAATTGAAAAAAACTGGACACAGCTAGTAAAGAGGGCTTTTGTACAGAAATGCAAACTCCTCTTTTAAATTTTAAAATGTTAGAATTCCTCAGGGCACTTTGGTTGTTTGTCATCCTTTCTTGAGCTATATAATCTCTCTAGTGGTCTGGGTCATTCTTACACTTTCAAATGACGTATTGTTTCAAGAAGGATGAAGGGGTCACTAGTACTAAAAATAGGAGAGAAATAAAGTAATTTAAGGGGTAAAAATTATTCATTGGACCTAGCACCCAATATTTAAGTGAAAATGCATTAGAGAGATGAATGATTAACTATTGTGTTAATTTCAGTATCTTCCACATGGAAATGTTCCAGGAGAAGATAGGCTTGCAGTTGGGCTGGAGAGGAATGGAATACTGGGAAGCAGTTGAACTTGACTAAGGGGTGGGTAAGTGGCAAGTAGAAATGATGGATCGAAGACAGTCACATGAAGCATACCAGTGAAAGGTTTTTGAAGTCAGGAGTTGGACTTGGCATTTGTGGGTAATGGGAGCCCCAGGACTTTTGGGTTCTGTATATGTGACAAGAACCTGGATGAAGTGTCAGGTGGGATGGGGTAAGGAATTGATGGTAAAGATGCTTTCTAATGAAGCAAGACAGAAGCAGATTCGATGGCTGCATAAAGAGACTGTGAGATCACAGGACCTTATTGCTTGAGAGGCCACTGAGCGCAAGAGAATATATCAGAGACAGAGGCAGAATATAGCAGAGGCAGGCTAAGTGCTGGGGTTTAAAATCAAGGCCTTAGCAGACAAGGTTGGTAGGCTCTGGAGAAGATAAGGGATTCAGGCATACCAAATCCCTCTTCCCATCACACCTTCATAGTCTGGGGTGTTAACAAAAATCATACTTGCCATGCTTTCAGCACAGAACTAAGGGAGTCTTCTCCATTAGCGTTTTCCCCCACGCAATTAACCTGAGCCTCCTTGTAACAAAATCCAAGTTCTAAACAGGAAATAGAACACCAGTTTACTTTAAGCTATGTCAGGAGGGTCTGTTTTTAATTCAATCCAAAGCCAGGTTCCTTCCCAGAAGCCACCACTTTACTGGCACTAATTGCTCTGTCTGTATTCTTAACACAGAGATGAAGAACTAAAGGATTGAGCTATGAAGGTAAAATGTTCCCTTTCATTCTGTGGCCCTTCCAGCTCAGAACTGCGAAGGCACGGTGTAGGTGGGGAAAGATAAATGTATTTGAGAGATGTCTGTCTCTTTCTTTTCCTAGAGACTATCAAAAAGTTAGAGCCTCATAAAAAAATTTTAGAGCCTCTTTAAGCTGTGTATGTCTGTATTCTTTTAAAGACTGCTCAGCAATATGGTCTATGTGTTATACACAAGGTATCTGTTATTCTTTGGAAATTCAGCAACTGAATAGCCTATAAAGTCATCACTTCTACCCAGCCAAGATATTACAGGTTATGAACCATCCTGTTACAGTGGACTTGATTGAGACAATGAAAGCCTAGTGCACGCTGATTATGTAATAAATGGATGATTAAACCAGCAGGATTCTACCTTTACATACGTAGGAGGTTTTAACACTGGAAATGCCTGAATTCATGGCTTTTGAAGTGAAAAAAGGTAGTATCAGTGATGCACAGCTCTCTCTAATCCAAAAGCAACACACAGGAAGACAGGGAAAAAAGTCCGCTGCCCATTTGTAAGGACAGTGGCAGTAAGAGTAAGAGACAAGGGTACAACAGTGCCATTCATTCACCTAGGCACTAAACACAAATCCAGGAATGGCCACTTGAGCAGGCAGGTAAGGCCTACTAGGCCATCTTATTCTCCATTCCCTAATTCTCCTGTGACATACTAGTTCTTCTCCCAATTCAGTCCTCCGAGATGCTAGCCTCCTAGATTTCTTACTGGCCTGGAAGGAAGTACCCTGCTGACGATCAAGTTCAAAGACGTGAAGAAGGCATTAAGAACATTTTTCACTAGCAAAAGGGACCAAGGTGATTTGTCTAACCAACCCTGACTAATTCTAAAATCCTCTTGGTTGTGAGCAGACTATCCTAAGTAGAATCTGGGTCCCTGCCAGGGCCTGATTCCATGATTAACTGATTCCTATGTAAGGTGGGAGATGAAATAGTTGTCTGAAGTCACATGTCAAAAGTTATGTTTATTGTGATAAGGCAAGTTCATTTGATCTATGGCCTGAACCCTTGAATGTGTCCCTTAACAGCTTTAATTTCAGCACTGTGGTGGCAGCTCCCTTAAGTAGGCCATCCAGCACCACCACTAGAATCATGGAAAAAGCTTTAATGAGGCTTGAGTCATGGGCAGAAATAACTTCTGATTGCTTAAAGTAAATAAAACCCCAAATATATCCAGAAAAAAAAGTTTGAGTCAATATTGCTGCTATATTTTAAGTGAAATATGTCCACCATATCTTTGCAGATGTTTTTAAGAGTCTAAGGAGAAACCTATTCATTACTGACAAGATAGATCCCTAGACCATTTACACATGAATTTCATTGATTGGATGGATGCAAGTGGTTTGACTTAGTCTCAGTATTCCTCTTTGCCCTCATTGCAAGTTAAACCTCACCCCATTGTCTGTCGCAGCCCATTAGTTGAATAGCAGTAGTTGGAGTGATGTGTGAATAGCTGGTGGCAGTGGAGGATTCTTAGCACCAAATGTATATTCTCATGTGCCTCAGGTAGGCTCAGACACACTCTATTACTGCCATCATCAGCATGTAGGCCAGTTATGAAAAAGAAAGTCTGTAAATAACAGTGTTGAACAATTTGTGTCAGATGTCTCTTTCTGTACGAACACACTTGAATGCCTTACCAGATGGCATTAGAAACATGTTTTATCATTTGTACTGCAACCAGCACAGAGAAATCTACTGTTCTGTGCATAACATTCAGCCATGCCTAGTAAGAGAAAATTTTCCTGTCTTCTGTTTTCTAGGTGAAGCTTCTATACATACATCTATGAAGCCCTTGGGTATTCTTTTGAAAAAGAAGAGTGTTCCTAGACACCAAAACATTGTGACTTGTGTGGAGAAAAAGCAGAATATTACTTGGATTTGGAGGGAAAAGCGTGCAGCTTTTACAGTGTATGATCTCTTTTACTACTGGCATATCTGGTGGAATTGGAGGAGGTACTATTCCTAAGCCAGGCATCATTGGAGTTATTGGTGGAATTCCAGTCATCATTCCAAGAGCAGGATCAAAATCTAAAAAAGGAGAGAAAAGACAGAACAATAAGTGACACCAGGCAAGGTCAAGGGGAGGCAGAATATTACCTTACAAATTTCAAACCAAGGATCTTTCTAAGACAGAGGCAAAATATTTAAGAAAACATGGTATTAGCATTACCAGGTCTTAAATATTATATTCTACTTGTGCATTTTCCTTTTGGGATAGGGCTGTTTGTTTTTGCTTGACCAGTCTCTTTATCTCTATATCTCATTTTGATATCCAAGGCCTTTCATACTATGACTGTGCCTTGTCTGTTGATCTTGCCTTCCACTAGTTCCCAATGCACACCCTCCACTCCATTCAGACAAGGCTTCTTGCTCTCCCTTGTAACACTTCTTGTCTTTTTGCAGTATAGCATGGTATTAAGAGCATACAGTTTTGGGAATCAGGCAGACCTGGGTCCTACTTCTATTATTTGCTTAGCAGGATGAATCTTTTGAACCTCCATCTCCTCATTTGCAAACCCTTACTTTATAGGGAGCTATGACAAATAAACAAAATGATGAATGTAATGTGCTTAGCATAATGTATAGCACAAAAATACTCAATAAATAACTATTCTCTGTGCTTTTGTTCATGTTGTTCTCCCTGCCTGGAATCATTTGAGCCTCCCCAAATTCTCCCCATACTTCAAGGCCTGCCTTAAATAACTCTCCAAGGCCACTCTCCCTGAAGAACTTTTTCCAGATAATTCTGGTTCATTTTCAACTCTGTGTTGAAAAACTGTTCTGTATCTGTTGCCACTGAATTTTATTTTATTTTGCATCATCTTTTCATTCAGGGATGCTTCTAGGATGTGTAGGGGCCCTCACAAATGTTTTTCTGTGGGGTTCATCTATATACACAGTTCAATTCACCCCAAATCAGCATCAACACTATTCAGTGGCATAATCTCATGAGATACCATGAGAGAAATGCCACACCAGGCAGCTAGAGTGATTTACTTACCAGTCTACCTTCCTGGAAACAAGACTCTGGGAGGACTCCACAGGCAGGAGTTCTGAAGCTTCTTGGAGAATCTGGTTGACTCCACATGTGGGGTAGAGGATTGGAGAGTGCCCCAAAGAGGAGAAAGGAGGACTGGGGTCCACATAAGTTCAGTATGAGAGTGGGACTCCTTGCTCAGACAACAGTGCAAGTCCTGGTCAATTCCAGGCAATGAAGAGGAACTTTAAAAATTTTGAGAAAGGTGCTTCTTAAGATTAGAACCTATATAGGACCTGTTCTGGACTCAGGGCACCTACCCTGATCACACTAACTACCTGGCTGGTCCTTAGCATCGGACAGGGACTTAGAAATATCAGGGCAGGCATTTCAAAGCACGAGGTCCCCTGAGATGCGGGCCTAGGGCAAAGGTCCCACTTGCCTGGGTGTAAGGGTGGTACTGATTTCATTTAAATTTTGTCTCTATATCAAAATGCAAGTTCTTTGAGAGAAGGGAATGCATTCTACTTCCTTATTTCCCCACCTCTCACTGTTGTCCTCTGCTACAGAATGCACAATGGACTGTAAACAAAGTATTGCATAAGGAGTTCTGATAATGTAGGGGCAGTTGAAGTAGCACTAGCAGGTCCGACTCCCAAAAACCTTACTCTGCTCACCACAAAGACTTGAGGGGCAACGCCTATAAGCATATCCTTAGGCTGGTTCTGAATCCCCTGGGTGGCTTTCTAAGATATTGAAGGGGGTAGATCTAAACAGGGGGAAGAATCTGTGGTCTCTAGAGAAGCAGAACTTCAGGTACAATAGGCCTAGTAGGGGTGAGTCTTATGACCAGGCAGATAGGCAGGCGGGTAGCACGTGTGCATCCTCCGTTGTAAAGTCAGCCCATAAGAGCTAGAGCATTCCCTATCTTCCCACATGCCTGTCATGCTGAAATATCAAGACCCCAGATATGTTTGGGAAGAAAAAAAAAAGATCTTCCAAGAAATTAGAAGAAATTTTATTTTTCTGAAAACAAATTTACAGCTCACCCAATATGCACTTGTACACATGCATGTGAGCGTGTGTGCGTACACACACACACACACACACATACACATGCCCTTTCCTTCCTTCCTGTGGCTCTCATATCTCCAGTTTCCTCCACATACTAGTTACATGACCTTAGGGAAGGTTTCTTAATATCTGGTAACATAGCACTATTTCTTTTTTGATAAAAGTGGGGATAAATTATGACATTTAGCTCAAAGGATGAAAGGACAGAACAGATATGAAAACACCTGGCATGATAGGTGGTAGTCCTAATAGGTAAATTTCCATCCTTCCATTCAGTAAGTTCACTTATTCAGGCATTCATTCCCACATTCCACAAGCATTTGTGATAGCTTTTAATATGTCAGGCTCCATTAGGTGGGGGCAGGGGGTCTAGGTCTTCCTTTCCATCTTGGAGGACTTAGACCCCTGATACCCTGTGTTTCTATGCTGTATAATAACAGCACTGTGGTTAAAAATGCCATTTGTGTCTTTGGAAAATTTGATTCCTTGTGTATATGATTTTGGAAAAATTGTTAACATTATCTCACCCATTTACAAACTATTAATTTTCAGTAGGAAGAGATCAGATTAGATTGTGTGCCAACTAAACAATTTCATCTATTTTTCCCCTCCAACTGAAATGTTTGTCTTCCTTTTATTGTTCTGCCTGCCTCCTCATTGTTATTCATATAGCTCTGTCACTCACAACTCTACCTTACCACAGATTACAGAAACATCAGTTCATTAAACAAGTTCTGCCACTTCGGCTGAGAAAGAAATGCCTGTCTCCATGTACTGTCTACTAATAAATGGAGACAAACAAAAAACAAATACACAGGATAAATATAACTCCTGACTGATGTACTCACCACTCTGTTTGGTATGATTACATTAATATTTTATGAAATTCATTTAAAAGCAAATGTATTCATGACATATGGCTAAAGTGAGAGTAGATAAACTCCCTTTCTTCCTTGTGTTCAATATGCCAAGAGTTCCATAGGCTACACTGCCTAGCAGGGCTTGCTAGAGGGCAGGTTGCACATGACATTTCAAAGACTCCTAACACATTGATTATTTCTTTTGTTTATCTTCAACCATTAAGCACCAAAGTCAATGTGAATTTCCAATGCCAACCAAGAAAATAACCATTTGAAATCATCGGACTTAAACAAGTATTGCAGAATCTGAAAAATCAAAGTCCAACAATTTAAAATACATTGGGAATAGAACACCAGAGAAATTATCTCCCTCTTCAAGGCCCCCAGCCTGGCTTGACAAGTACACTAACAAGTGCGTAGTATTAACATTTATGTTAGGAATTCAAACTTTTATTTATTTATTTATTTTTAAATTTTATTTTACTGTGTTATGTTAGTCACCATACATCATTAGTTTTTTTTTTTTCCCATTTTTTAATTTAATTCTATGTTATGTTAATCACCATACATTACATCATTAGTTTTTGATGTAGTGTTCCATGATTCATTGTTTGCGTATAACACCCAGTGCTCCACGCAATACAGGAATTCAAACTTTTGAAGGAGATTTGAAATCATTTTATAAGGATTATGGAAAAGGCCAAGGTATTCCTCCAAAGTCCTTCCCACAATCAATACCCTGTTCTGTTTTGCTTCTACATCTCTTCTTCTAGCACCTTTTCCCTACAGCCTTCTGACTCTTGGCATCGCCAAGCCTGGAAGTGTCATAAGACATTGGTTTGTATTCCCTCTTCTGATTCATGAACTTCCCCAAATCCCAGCTTACTAGAGATGCTATGAATGCTTTGTTAGTTGGACCAGCTTGCTCCTCTGAGTTGTGGCTCTACTACATGATTTCAAGTAATATTTCAGTGTAGCCTTAAATATTCCTGCTCCCTAGCAACTTGGGCTCATTCAACCTAGAGTAGTTACCTGGAAGTAAAATCATCCTCTGTTCTCTTTACGCATTTGAGCCAGGGAGTTACACTGGAGGCACATACCATTTCTATGCTGCCATCCAGTCATCCATATGTCCATCCAGTTAATAGTTTGATGCCAGGCCCTGTGCCAGGTGTTGGGATTGAGGGAATGAGTAAGGCAAAATCCTCAGCCTCATAGTCTAGTTTAGAAACATCCATGCAGTTACAATGCTGTATCACCAATTATCAACACCCAAATTATTGGGTGCTTACAATGTGCTAGACACTGTGCTAAGCATTTTATATAATCACATTCCAGTAAGCCTGTGAACTAGCTACTATTATAATCCTTCATTTTATACAGAAATTGGGGCTCAGAGTATTTAGTTATTTGACCAAGATTACAAGCCAGTAAGAAGTAGAACTAGGATTCAAATCTAGGCTGGTCTAACTATAATGCTCCTAACCACTACACTGCCTCTCAGTGTAGTATGACAATTGTTTTAATGAATTAACTTCATTATAGGTGTAAGGTAAACCAGGTATAATTAAAAACATGGCAGATGAGCAACAAAGTGCTTCCAATTATTTTTTTCCCAGTGTGACAGATTAAAGGTGGATACAAATTCTTTGAGACTCCTTTCATCAAGAGATGAGGTCTATGTCCCCCACCCCATTTGAATCTGGATGGGCTACAGACTACTTTGACACAAAGTGTTCTGTTTTCAGGCTCAGGCCTTAAGAGAGATACCATTCCCACTTCTTGTTTCTGGGAACACATGCTACTGGAGCTTCAAGATACCGTGCAACATGTTGGAGTACCGTGGTAGAGAGGCATGTGGAGAGGGCCTTAGAGTAAATGGAGAGAGAGGGATCCAGCTGAGCTCAGTGTTTTTATCTGTCCCTGCCAAGGTGCCATGCATATGAATAAAGTTGTCTTGGAACCTCCAGACTAGCCTACCATTGCTGAGACATCCCAGTTGATACCATATGGCACAGAAGAATTGCCCATATGAGTCCTGCTCAAATTCTTCATCCAGAAACTCTTAAAATAGAATAAAATGATTGTTTTTTAAGCTGCTAAGTTATAAAATAGTT